GAAGGCGCGGATTATTAAAATACTAACCATTCGTCCTTCGGGTCGGCTGAGTACAAAGCATTTTTTCCTAACAATCATGCAATACGATTGCATGCAGGGATGACGTTATTAAATCTTTTATTATCTCCGTTTTGTTTCTCTTTTTTTTTTTTTTTTTTTTTTTTCATCTTTTTATTTCGGAAAAGTACTACGTCTTCTCCGAAAAAAAAAAGTTTTGACGTTCTTTATTTTATTGGCTTGCTTTTTAACTTTTTTTTTTTCTTGTTTTTATTTTATTTTATTTTATTTTATTTTTTTTTTTTTTTTTTTTTTAACGTTCTCAATTATAATTGGGATTGAGTTTTTTTATTTCTTTTTCTTTTTTTTTTACATACATCCTACGTATATTGTATGTTGAATATTGATGTTTATAATATTATCTATTTCCCTTTTCTAAGGTACACGAGGTAAAAGCAAATGGCATTGTTATGTGCTATCGCAAAATAAGATAAAGTAATTTATCGAAAGTTGACATTAAATAGCGCGAGATTTTTTATCTTTCTCTTTCCTTTTCTTCTTTTCCTTTTTTTTTCTTTTTTTCTTTTTTAATTCGAACGGGTTAACGTATCGTTATACCCTTTTCCGAGGTTTTAGGCGACTCTATAACGATGACTAATCTTTTCTTTTTCTTTTCTTTTTTTTTTCCTTTTTTTTTTTTTCACCATCTACGATAAAATAAAAACGATTTGATTTTTTATCGTTCGGCCTTTGTAAATATTAGGCGACTGTTATTAGTAATTTGAAAATGTCCCGGTTCTTGATGAAGCACAGTTTTATATAATCTTTTGTCAGTTTCTTTTTAGCTAATAAGATTAATTAATAAAATTTAGAGAGAAAGTGTGTGCGCACGTGAATGCATGAGAGAAAGAGAGAAAGAGAGAGAGAGAGAGAGAGAGAGAGAGAGAGAAAGAAAGAGAGAGAAAGAGAAGTATGAATCTGAATAAGGGAGAGAATGAAAGAAAAAATTTGAAGATGAATGGGACAGTCAAATAGAAAAAAGATGAAAAAAGAAACTAGAGAAAGAAAGGAAGGGAGAGAGGGAAGGAGGAAGGGAGAAAGGAGGAGGGAAGAGAGAAAGAGAGAGAGGGAGAGAAAGAGAGAGAGAGAGAGAGAAAGGATCGATGTTTACACGGGGATCGTGTAGCTAAAATTCTACTTATTTATTTATTAATTATCGTCGTCGCGACTTTTTCGCTCGATCCTGCGTAAAAAAAAATTTAGATGGATTTTTAGATTATTAATCATGCGCGCGATCTTTACGATAATAATAATAATTGATAACTAATTAATTAATTAGTAAATAATATAATAATAATATTAATAATAATATTAATATTAATAATAATAATAATAATAATAATAATAATAATAATAATAATAATAATAATAATAATAATAACAATAATAATAATAGTAGTAATAATAATAATAATAATAATAATAATAATAATAATAATAATAATAATAATAATAATAATAATAGTCTACGATATATGGACGCGTAGCACCTTTTAATCGGAAGACCTTTCATATATATATACATATAAAAATTTATATATGTATGTATACATATATATGAAATAAAATATATATTTCTTCGCATTAAAAAAGGGCGAAGTTAAGAATAAGACAAAAAAAAAATTACATAGAATAGTCGAAATTAAATGAAAAGGAAGAGCAAAACGGAGACTTAGGAGAATCTACCCCACGCTCGCTGGAGTATTATAAGAATCATTAATATATTATCGTTCACATTATTAATGCATATTATAGTAATTATAGGCAACAATAATAATAATTAGTAACATAATATAATTTAATCTATTATTTATTATATAAGTTTTTGAGACAAAAAAGAAAAAAAAATCATAAGCATTATTATCGCATTATCGTTTACTTCACTTTATTTTTCTCTTCTTTCTTTTTCTTTTCTTTTTATCTTTTTTTACTTTTCCTCTTCTTTTTTTATCTTTCTTTTTTTTTTCTTTTTTTTTTTTTTTTTTTTTTTATTTTTTTGTTATCTTTCAACCGAACTCTACAATACGGATATATAAAAGAGCGAAAAAACACGTATACATATATAATATCAATTATTATAGCCGATATCTCTACAGGAAGTGCATCGCGTCTGATTTCTGGACTTTCATCCTTTTTATCTTGTCACCTTGTATTTTCATGAATAAGAGAATATTTTATGGCGCACGAAAGAATGGAAGCTAAAGAGATTGTGTAAATACTCGTGTAATACAATGAATGCGCGCGAGTTTTTCACTCTTTACTCTAGTTGACTATACTATATTTTGCTACAGTTTATAACGTCAGATGTTATATTAGAGAGAAAATACAGTGGGGAAAAAAAGAAAAAGAAAAAAAAAAAAAAAAAAAAAAAAAAGAAAGACCTTTATCTCGATTCCAATGCATATCATAAAAACGTTGCATAAGACGCGAAGAATGAAAATTAGAATGGGGGTGGTGCGTGAATAAAACTAAAGATAAAGATAAATAGACAGTGAGAGGACCGTAACATTGATTATGAAATCCGGTGAAAGCGTGCAATGAGTGATAGATTAATTACACACACGCACACGTACATACACAAAACAAAACAAAACAAAAAAAAAACTAAGCGCATCGTAATAATCGATGCTCGCTCGTAAGTCACGATGCACGTTCCTCCTCGGTATTCGGCGCCGAGTTTAATCCTACGAAATTGTCGTACAAATATTTCCTTTAAGTCTTCAATTCGTTCTCATCGATCTCTTGTTTTCGATTTTTTACATAAGGACGGACGGACGGACAGTGATCCGGAACGAGAGCACAATAGACACTCGTTAATTAACAATTATTAATTTATCTTCTCTTTGTCTAATAATTTCTTCGGGTGAATTCAGTCTTTCGATAACTTCCAAAGCGCTCAGGCAAGAAGAAGTATGATGTAAAACGAAGATAAAAAGAAAACAAAAATAAACAAGAATGGAAAAGGTGGTAGAACGAGGAACTTATTAAATAGCGATAAAATAAATCATCGTTCCTTTGATCCTCGTGTCTACGTCCCTGGTTAACAATTTTTTCGTACTACAAAGAGGCTTCGAATTTGTATTTTTTTTAATCCTTTTTTTATAATCAACGTGTGTGTGTGTATATATACATAATATATATATATATATATTTTTAAAATGGCTATTGTAACATTATTGGAAAATTACGTAAAGAAATGTTTTCTGTCTTATAAAACTAACAAAAGGATTGTCTTTATCTCATTTCGTATTATATCTTTTTTGTTTTTTTTATAATCGAATCTTATATTTCGACGACTTCCAAATGCGTAAATGTATAAACAAAAGAAAATGAAAAAGTTAACTTTATCGTAATAGCTGCTTCCACCTGTTACAGGTTACATACACGAACAAAGTCAGTTACACAACACAAAGACGCGTTAATTACAAATGCGCGTACGCGTTCACATAAAGAAACATACATAGATATACATGTACACAAAAAGGGGGAACGTTTTCCTTTACGGGATGCAAAGTTAATACTTTATATAAAATGGAAACTTGAAATTTTAATGCGACGATGCCAAAATAGTATTAAAGGTAATAATTAGAGGTAAAATATTTGTAATAGTAAACATAAAGTATATAAGGAAGTCACTAACGATATAAATAAAAACGATTAACAAACACATACGTCGCATACATACGCAGACACATGTAATAATAAATTTAAAAAAAGAAAAGAAAAAAAAATAACGATGACGTGGAAATGCATTAAAAGTAAAAAAAAAAAAAAAAAAAAAAAAAAAAAAAAAACGCAGGAAAATATAAATATTTGGTTGAAAGGAACTTGTGAGAGCAGCGAATAGGAAAGGAAAAGAAAAGTTGAAAAATGTATTTTTTCTTCCAATGCCAAAAAGATGCCATTTTGTTTTTTACGAAAAAATCTACGAAAAAGTCCTAAAAAAAGCGAAGTGAGGAATGAAACTTTTGAGATAGTTTGTAGGAAGCATATGTAAGTGTAATAGTGGAAAAAAATACTTAATGTATATGTCTTGTGAAGTGAAATAACGAAAAGATAAAAAAAAAAAAAAAAAGAAAAAAAAAGAAGAAGAAGAAACACACTTGTCCGCCTTATGATGAAGAAGCAAAATAATACAATAGAAGAACGAATAAGAATTAAAGAAAAAAAAAAAAGAAAAAAAAAAAGAAAAAAAAAAAGAAAACAATATTTGTAGTTTACAGTAAACAGAGTTTGAAAGAAAAAACAATAGTATAATAAAATATGGACACGTCAGTGTTGCATTGTCCAATACCTGAGATGCAAAAATTGTGAGATATGTTTGGTCGAACGAATAGAAAGAAAAAAAATCAGAAATGAATCATAGGGAATCCTTTCTAATGAACGGAACGTACGTTTGAACTCATCATTTTTGCATTTGGGTATCATATAAAAGAAGATAAAAAAAAAGGAGGTAAAAAAGAATATCCCCGTGTCACCCACAGGGCATGCGCATATAATGTTATGTATACACCAATTATATATGTACATATATTTTTGGACAAAAAATCGTGAAGAGAAATTTTAAATCGAAATTAAGCTTTCGGCGTGGAAGGGCGGTAGACTCTTGGCAGACCAAATCCGTTCGTGTTAATCGATCCTGGAATTCGTCGTAATTTGAAATAAATAATAATGCTTTTTAATAGCGACAAATAATGAATCTTTTTTTCTTTTTTTGTAAGGATAAAACAATCGATACATCGTAGCCGTTTATCGATCGATCGTCTTTGAATTATCTTCCCAATTGGATTCTTGGATCGATCGACGTAAAATACGAGTATTCTCATTCAATATATTCTAACGGGAGAAAAAATAATATAACAAAATAATTAAGGAGTCTTATTAACGTTGAGTCTGTCAGGTGGTTAACCACGTGCACGCGCCGAAATCAAATGTATTTATAAATATTTATTTACGCGAGATAAAAGAATGAAAATAAAATCTAATATATTGATGACGATTACGTAAATGGTCGTAAGTTAAGCTGTAATTTTTCTAATAAAAAGGAAAAAAATAAATAAATATACAAAATAATTTTTGAAGCGTTCCCTTCGCCGTTACGATAGGCCAAAACGAAAATCGATGCGAAAGGAACTCCGAAGCAATGAAAAAAAGACTCATTTCAATGATATAATGAATAAATACTAATAATAATAATAATAATAATAATAATAATAATAATAATAATAATAATAATAATAATAATAATAATAATAATAATAATAATAATAATAATAATAATAGTAATAATAATAATAATAGTAATAATAATAATTATTATTATAATAATAATAAATAATAATAAAAAATAATAATAAATAGTAATAATAATAATAATAATAATAATAATAATAATAATAATAATAATAATAATAATAATAATAAAAATAATAATAATAAAAATAAAAATAATAATGAAATAATGATAATGGTAATGATTAATGATAATGGTAATGATAACGATATTGATAATGGAAAAAATTTTAAAACTGTCGTGCCGTAATATTGTTGGCGGGTCAAAACTCGAGTAAATATGTGAAAACGTAAACGCTATGTTGGTGGACAAAAAGAAAAGATAAACGTGTAAAACAGGTGTGCTTGAGCAATGGACATGGTATGCTTAGATTATAGTAACAAGTAATAAATATAAGTAATAAAATTAAGATGAATATTGCTATCGATGATTATTATTGACATAAGAGTAGATTTAGGTGAGAATACGTTATAAGTCAGTTGTAATTGTCCTTTGTGAATATACATAAGGCAGAAATGAAAAATACAAGAAACTTTTATGAGTAAAAAATTGTCTAGACTTTTTTTTTATAAATTTATTCGAATACCTCGTATGCATAGTCTTAAAATATAAGACATTTATTGCAATTGATCTGTAACCAAAATGGTTCTAAAAATCGCTATTAGTATTTGTCATATAACAAAATGAAATAAAATTACTATCGCATTGTTGATAACTTAACGACAAAATTCTATGCAACAAACTTTTCAACAAATTAAAATAGTTGTATACATGACAAATATATATATACATATATACATATATACATATATATATATATATATATATATATATATATATATATATATCTTATTATTCTTGGAATAATTTTTTCGTATACAGCAGTTGCCTAGTTAAAATTATTAAAGTCCATAGGAATATAGTTGATTAATAAATCAGAATTCTTTTCTTATCTAGCCACAAGAGTTTCCTAAAGATGCTTAGAAAAACATTATACAAGACTATCTAAAATTTGTCAATCATATTTGTACAACGAGATATCTGATATATTACACATTATAATTAATATACTCATCTTTCTGATAATAAAAGTTACGTAATTCCAAGAGCTTTTTTTTCGTCGCTTGATTAAAAAAAAATTGTTTGCTCTCTGCGAAAGGCCATTTTTTTTCTTTTTTTTTTTTTTTTTTTTTCTTTCTTTTTGGTAAAGCATGCCAATTTCATTATCTTGGCCAACTGACAGATATTATTATGTAAGCAGAATCTGAAACATACAATTATTAAATAAAAAATTAAGTATAAATGTCAAAAGTATCTATCGTGTTTATAATACATTTACCTTTCTGCATTTTGAAGTCGGACTTTCATTGCCCCAAAATAATCGTATAAAACGAAATCAGATGATATTGAGGGAGCCGTGCATTGAAAACTTTCAGCTACGTTTTATTTATAATGCTTCGATCTTTTTCAGGTAATGATATTAATGTCAAAAATTTTGAAGGAAAAATATATGAAAAATATAAAATATTTGGAGAGATATTTAATTACTAACTGACCTTCTACCGCTAGCGTTAATGGAACCACGATGGATAGGACCTTCAGCTTTTATGATAACACCTTGTGCAATTCCATAATGCTCAAAAACATCTTTGCCAGATACAAAGGTATTGATATTCGAAGCTGGTTGCTTTGATTTTGTGGATGAAATTTTTTCCATTGAATGTGAAGGCAAAACTTCTGGAGGTAACGAAGTATTGCTGACACTTTGCAAAGCATTTAAGCTTTGCATCACTAAATGAGATGCAATAGGTTTAGTCAATGGATTCGTTGCTTGTATATTTAATTTCTCTTTTTTTTCGGTCGATAAAACCTCTTTCTGAAGATCCAAAGATGTCAAAGAGTTAGGCATCTCTGTTACTTTCTTCACAATATCATTAACAACTTTTTCAGTTGTAGATGGGACCTTTTGAATTGTAGTTTTCTCTATTTTGTTATCAGATAAGGGTAACCTTTCTGATTGCGTTGTAATCAATGTACTGACAGATTGACTTCTTTTTGTCGTTTCGTTCATTTCATTCGAATGCGTTAACGTATCCGAGAAAGGCGTTGTTTGTGCACGATGCTTCCTTGTTGGAATTTGTGGACTTTCAACATGAGACTTTCCATTGACAGCACTGTTTCTAGGTATTGAATAGGTTCGTTCTACCATAACATCAATTGACGAACCATTGCTACCGTAATTACCACTGGTTGTTGGGACAGAACTGTCCCTCGAAGTATTACCATTATCTTTCAAAGAATCATCAATGATACGATCATTGACGTTAGTCAACGTGGACATTGTATTATCGATAGTTGAATCACTTTTTAATCCTATCTTATTTTCATTAATAGCCTGTGCAGTATTAAAGTCTATGGTCTCAGTATTTTGTTTTTCTTTTTTGATAATTCCTAGACTAGGATCGCCATTAGGGAAACTAGCAAATCGTGCAATGGTTTCTCGTTCTTCAGCTACTTGTGGAGCAAACGGTATCTTTCTTTCAACTGGTTTCACCGAAGGACGCCTCTTTTTTACCATTTCTGATCGTCTCTTTCTTCTTTTAGTCTCAGACGTTTCCTTCCTTGGTGGATGCATTTCTGGAAAATGTCTACCTCTCATAGACACTGGTTCCTTATCTTCTAATTCCTGTAAATCAATACATTCGTTAATATCTGACTCATCTTCTTCGTTTTCTTCTACGATAGCGCTAGCTTCTATCCATTCTCTGATACGGTCCTTCTTTTTCGCTCGATCAACAGTCGTTTCAATTCCGTAAGTAGTCAGCGTATAAAGGAGTTGATTTTTTTCTTCCAAAGAACTGTGAAAACTGTACATGGATGGACAAAGTTCATCCCTTTCATCTGCTCCACCTGAAATAAATAAAATTAATTTATTATACTTTGTTGAGATATCCAACAGTTTTCAACATATTTCGTACCATTCAATGCCTTTTCCGCGCCCAATTTAGCTAACCATCTGTCTTCCAAATATTTATTAACTTCCAGTACGCTAACAAGTCTTTTTTCCGCCTTAGGATCTAACAGCCTCTTAAATATTCTATATCGTATAAATAAATATTATTAAAAATAATCTCGCCTATTTATCAATATATTGAAATATGTTAATATTTAATTATTTGTTATACATTGAAAGTCATAATACTCATTTCGATAAACATGGTTCAAATAGTATTAATTTGAACGTTTGCCAATTTAAAAATAAAATGTCAGAAAAATCCATTAACTGATTTGTTTGCATAATTTTAACATTATTTGTTACATAGATACGTGTATCGTTAGGAGAAAATAATTTTTAAATAAAAAAAAATTATCGATATATTTGAAATTTTAAAAAGTAGTAAGGTATTAGTTATTTAGATTGATACACGTGGTCATGCGCACAAAATGTCAAGATATTTACCTCTGTGCCCGTGAGCTGATCAGCTGAAATAATTTCGGTTTCTTGGCGATGTTAAGCGTCGCATTGTGCCAGTTTAGATATCTTGTGTACCGTGGGTCGTCCAATGCTGCTTTCTGCCATGGTAGGCATCCGGTCAGGCAAACAAATAGGACAATGCCGAATTGCCAAACGTCATGAGATGTCAGAGCTCTGAAAATTGTTATAAATTAATAGTCAATTGATATTGATTACAGAAACTGTCAATTAATCTTATTAATCATCGTCAAAGACAATTGAACTTTTTAATTGTCAAGAATTGGCCGAGGTACAGTGATTTTAAATAGATCTATTGAATGACTCAAGTGCAGTGTAGTGTTGTTGACGAGAATAATCAATCGGTATGTAAGTAATGATAGTAAAATAAAATCGCTATAAATAGTCGAATTTTTTTAAATAGAATTGAAGTAAACGTTGAAGTAATGAAATTTTATAGCTTTTAAATTGTATAGTTATTAATTACTTGTAGGTTTCATCGGTGTTGATCTGTAGTACCTCGGGCGGTGAATAAGGAAGCCATTCGTTGTGTCTTCGTACGATAGTATTAACGCGTCTGGTTTCCCCGAAATCACAAAGCTTTATACGCGAAAAGTCGCTTCGAAAAACGAGTATATTGTCCAACTTGATATCTCTATGAACAAGCTCGCGACTGTGAATATGATGAACAGCGGCTGCCAGCTGTCTTGCCACTCGCTTTGCATGTAATTCACCTAAACCAGTTTCTGTTACGTTTGACGTTAAATCACCTAGAAATATGCATTGTCTGTTATCAGTTATTCATTCGTTTGATTGCTTCAATATTAACATAATTATGTAAATCGTTTTAAACGATAAGTGTATTTAGTATATTTTTATGGATATTTTTATCTACATTATAGAATCACGATTATTTATCTTTAATGACTAAATTAACTTGAAAAACATCTTGAGATTATTATCCTCCTTCCTCCGCCCCTTTTATAGTATTTATTTGATTGAGTTGCATCAAACGTACTGACGGAATACAAATCGAATGTATAAGTATATTCTCTTACTCGATCAAAAATCTCCGAGACAAGTAGTGCGCGATCATTAAACAAACATGCCAGATATATATGAGAACATAAATCATTGATCTTACCTAGCGGTGCGTATTCCTGGCTGAAAACGTAAAAGCCAGCGGTCTCGAAAGCAACGTCGTACGTAGTTATAATATTACGATGAGCTGCTAGATGTAAGCCATAATGGAATTCGCGAAAAAAGTCCGATAAACCAGTATATGCCTTTGGTAGAGCTTTCAAGACCATTTCAGTTTGCGTGCTGCGATGCTCGGTCAAAAGAATTTTTCCGAACCATCCCTCACCGACGATTTGAAGTATATCGAACTCGTCAATTAAGTTAACCTGAGGTATGAAAAATTTTTGAATAATATCATCCGTATGGCTCGTATCCAAATCACGATTAAATCGGCCATCGTTGGCCGACAATGTGCGAGCAGGTGCGGGCTTCATGATCTTTTTCGATACGAGAAGATCCCTAGCGAGACGATCTCAAAGCGATCACTGTACGTTGAACGCGTGGATCATCATCCGTAGACTACTCGCACGTATCGTCTCTATTTTTAATTCGACGCATGCTAACGTAGGCACCAAACGAAGATCACGTTTTTGTGTCACAAAACGAGGGTTCGCTCCATGATAAAAATGTCTTAGTGTACTTTATTTTATTTCAGAGTTAAGATAAAACGTGCAATGGAAAAAGTTGACTTATTCATAAAACAATTTAAGAAACTTTTTATAAATGTAATAGATCGTGAGATAACATTCATAAAAAATTAAACTTTCAGTCTGTCATCTATATAAAAAGATTAATATTTTATAATTTATAATTGATAATAAAATTTTTAAAATTCGATAATGTTAACGTCGGAAATCAAACATGAGATCACGTGACATATGTTACACAAGTCGTTTACAAATGCAATCATGTATTCTCAGTTCAATGTCTCGACTGTGAACATGATAGACATGAAATTGACATAATTCGAGAATATATCTTAACTATATCTGTATTAAATCATTATGATATACAGGCGATCGTGTGGCGTCATCTTTTCGAGAGCGTCAAGTAGCATTTATTAAGAAAGGAAACTGGTTTAATGCCAGGAACAAGGAGATTGCTCGTAATTTCAACGAATGTAAGTATTGTTAAGTCGCTTGCTATTTTGGGATCTCAAAAGATTCGACTCACTGGAAGATCCGAATGGTATTGTTAACTCGATGCAATTACTAAAAGGCGCCTTTAAATCTTTCGAATAAAGACGAATGGGTTACCTTTTCTAACTCGAACTCTCGTACTCTGTGAATCGATCCACCGATAGCTTTCTTCATCAAATTCATTATGTTCAATAATTTTGAATAATGCTTTTAAATTAAAAATCGAGGAACGAATGCGCACTTCGATTAAAAATACCAAATGCACCTTTGAACGTCACATTTTATCGTTTACTGTCTTCTTCAATTTTTTATTTAATTCAACGAAATCGTATTTTGCACTTATCGAAATCTTCGTCGTCAAAGATTTATTCGAAAACGAACTTTATTGTTATATTCGCGTTCATCGAATCAATGAAAAACTATTAACGTTCTAATTAATTAATTACCACATAGTAATTAACTTTCACACTCTCTCATACACGTAACAATTAGGACATTTTTTTTTTTATAGAATCTAATATATTAGAAAAATGGAAATGAAAATATAGAAAATCGTTAAACGATTTCACGTTGTTTAGTCAATCGATAAAAGAAAAATAAATTTTCTTCGTGATCAGACTGAACTTGTAAGATTCACTATAGAATCGTAATTTTACGACGGGTCTCCCAGTGTTCGGTGCACTCTTTGGCTGTCTGCAGTATTTATAAAACACCGACCGGAAAGCAACTGGCGAGCTGATTTTGGCGCCGAGCCGGCTTACCCGTGCGCCGACGCCTCATCAGTGACGCGTTAAGACGCGTCTTCGTCGGCGTCGCTTTAAAACCGACTTCTAATGCCGCAACGAATCATTGTGGAATGCGAACGTGTACCTACGAAAAAAAGCACGATGCCAGGAATGACGTTAGATTCATTATACTTTTTGCATTTGTGATGAGAACAGATCAAAATACATTGACAGAAAATAGAAATTCAAGTTTTGGTTTTTTAACTTTTTCCACATATTCATTGGTCTCTTCGTTTGATTTACATTACGTTATTTTATATCTTTTAGATTTGGTTCATAAAATGAGATGTAGTAGATACAAAAATTCATTCAAATGTGTTTATTATTTCGTTCCACTGTTTTATACAAATAGAAATCGTCGTTGTGCTTCGTACGTGCCCAGACTTCGATGCATTTTAAGGAATCGATTAATTTATTATAAAAGGCTTTACAAGAAAACACAGACAAAAAACGGATCATACAGTCGTGTTATTTAATGCGAGACGCATTAACACATTCCTTACGAACATACAGATAACCATATACAGGTGAAAAATTTTTATATGGCTGCAATATTACGATATATCGCACATTAGAATGGTACAAACTCTTCTTCTTCTTCTCTCTCTCTCTCTCTCTCTCTCTCTCTCTCTCTCTCTCAGAATTCGCGCGTACATCGTACCTTCGAGCTTTATAAGGAACATGCTAATAAATATTACGGTAAAAGTGGAGGATTCATGCTCGATTACACACCAAGAGTCGGAGTTGTAATGAGTAGAGAATGATTCTTTATTTTATTTGGAAATCGTTCTGATTAAACGAATATGTGAATATAATTATTGGCAATGATTCTGTCCCGTTAAGAAAATATTACATAGTGATGTGTAAAAGTATTGACTTTGGTATTTTTTTGGTGATGACTCTAAGGGAAAACACTTTTTTATTTTTTAGATTTATACATGCATCAAATTCGTGTGTAGGATATATGCCTTCGATTTTACATGGAATAAGTATTTAAGTATAATAAGCACTTTTTTGTAATTTTGATCAATATACAAACAAGTATCAGACAATTTGATTAATTTCTAATAATTTAAATGATTCTTCTCGATGGTTGTATAATTTTGACGAATATTTTAGACACACCAATTTTGTCTTGCTCAAAATTTGATTTCAGCAAAAGACCATTTCATAGTTAAGTCATTACCAAAGTATTACAATTCAATACTTTTGCACGTTATAGTATACCGGTTTTTTTTCTTTTTTCTTTTTTTTTTTCTTACTGTGTTCTAAAAACCGATGCATTGTGATCTCGCAATTAGCAGAAAAATTCGTGAATGCTCGATTGATTGATCGCGTTTAACAATCGAAGTTCAGAAACAAGAGTTTCATCTATTAATTCTTCTTTCCTTCTCTTCTATCATATATTTATTTTTTCTCGCGATCGTCGATCGCATTTTGTGCACTACAAAGTGACCGCGAGAAGTGACTAGTTATATTCTACATATAATGTTATATCATATATTTATATATACATAGCTACCGAATAACATATATAGTTTTATGATTTGTCCCTTAATTGTCGATTCGTTTATGATACAAGTAATTTCTAAATCGTTGTACATTGTTACGTTACCAGTCCCGTTCTATATGAAATTTAATTACATTCTTTCGACTTAACTTATTAATTTTTTTTTTCCTCTTAACGACTCTTTTACTACCATTTAAAGTATATTACACATATATACACACGCACACGTATATATGTGCATATGTATATCCGTGCACGTGTATTATAAATAATTATATATATATATATATATAACGTGACTATTTTCAGAAGTTATGATTTCCGAACATGGTATCGTTTTTTTCATACCTGCATATGATAAATACAATGGATATAATATGGTATATAAAAAATAAAAAAAAAAAAACAATAAAAAAGAACTATATTTTTCCAGTATACACTTAAAACAAGATCACAGGTCAATAGGGTGATTCGATCATGTTATATGAAACCATGAAACATAATCATAGCTTCTGATTAATCACCTCATCCTCCGATCTTTTATTAAACAGTCTAATTAAATCGACACTCTCGCGTCGTATTTCATTGTCTCTAGTTTTTCTTCGTCTTCTTCTTCTTCTTCTTCTTCCTCCTCCTCCTCCTCCTTCTCTTCTTTTTTTTTCTGTTTTTTCTTTCTTTCTTTCTTTCTTTCTTTCTTTCTTTTTTTTTTTTTTTTTTTTTTTAAGTCGAAAACGACCCGTTTAGTATTTACAGAGATTAGATACAAAATTATAAACAGTTTTTAGTACAAAATAATTTTATGACTATAACGATTAAGGTTTCTTTCCTTTTTTTCTTTCTCTCTCATTTAATAGCATTGTAAGAACAGACACGGGATGAATATTTCTTTTTCTCTGCATTTTGTTCATCTCTTATCTTTGATCTCTTTCCTTATTTTTTTTTTTGTCTTGTTTTTGTTTTTTTCTCTATCGACGAGAATATTCGATATTTAAAAGGCTTTAATGTTGAAGCAAAGAAGAAGAAAAAAAAAAAAAAGCTAAATTTTCGCCCGTGTCCGATACAGAAGATATAACTAGGTGAGCTCTTTTATAGTCTCTTTCCGATTATTTATTTATCTCTTAAAGATTTCATTCAATTCCACGATAGACCGGTAATCCGATTGCTTTCAAAATCAAGCTTCATTTCAAAAGAAGTTATTAAACTATGCTGCTTAATTCAATTTACTTTAAGTAGTCGCTCTTTCTTCTTTTTCTTTTCTTTGTTCTTTTTTTTCTCTTTTTTTTTCTCTTTTTTTTCTCTTTTTTCTTTTTTTTTTTTTTACACGTTCTAATTAACCTGCAGAGAGTGATATATTTCTACAAAATAATTTATAGTAATATATTAAATATGCGAAACAAGGGACTTTTGAATGAATTATTACACGATAACACTTATTCGTATGACTTTTTTCAGCACGTAGCGATCACTTAACTAACGACTTTTGACAGAGCTTTAAGTCGCAACGAACTTAAAATTATTCGATATAATTGGCGGAGAAGGCGCATATTAGGTAGAATAGTCATCTCGATATTATTTCTCTCAGATAGGAAAGGATTATATTTTTATTTGCATATTCTTTAAGGGAATTGATTTTTAATTAATAAAAAAAAAAAAAAGAAAGAAAAAAAAACAGATATAAGCAACGTAGTTGACTGTTCTTTCCAACGTTAGTCTATAATAAATGAATAAAAAGAAAAGAAAAATTCTTTTTGATCACATAGGGTTTGAAAAATGTAATCCTTTCATTTCTGAAAATTTCATCGAGCTAGTTAGGTACAGGTAGATACGAAGAGATATACTGAATTATCACATGAGTAGACAAGTGAGTTACTCTTTAGCAGTAGGGGCAACGATATAGCCAAAGGCAGCATTATTTTTATATCAATGTAATTCGAGCGAAACTACAATTCATATCTTTCAATTAATGTCAATACAATGTATGTGATTAAAATCAAACATTGTGTCTATTTGTACGTTTTATATTTCATTTTGTATATGTAAATTGATGAATTTAGTTTCATTTGGAGATAGCAATAGTGAGAAAGAAATTTGAGAGATTCCTTTAAAGAAAAATGAATCGAATCATTTTTGGTACTATTATAGATAAAAACACGAACAGACAGACACAAATTTGATCTCGTTCGTACGAATGTACGAGACTAATTCGATTTTTTAGTTACGCTCGAATTTAACATATATCGAAAAACGTATATGACTAATTTTCTGACTATCTACTTCCTTAAATGGCATTAGATTAATTTATATAAATAGTATTTTTAACGTTTTAACGGTAACATCGCCTATACGTTAAGATTACGCGTACTATTACATTTCACAATGTTGTTCATCTTTTCTTTACGTACAACAAAGTACGAATAAGAAAAATAAAACAACATTATGAAAGACAACAGTACACTTTTTTTTCCGTAGTAATCTATCTGTCATATACATATACAATGGAACTTAATGATTGAATCGTTTCGTTGAACTCTTTCGTTCCAATTAAATTTTCGTCAAAGTGATTATGCACGTACGTATATATATATATATATATATATATATATATATATATATATATATACGTATATATATATATACACTTGTATAATATAATCCGATTTCTTTACCTATTGCTTTTCAATTTTCTATGCTCTTTTACACCTCTCAACTTTTATTCTTTCGTTGAAATAAGCACGAAGGAACACAGCACGATATGTTGAAACGTTTGCGAAAATGATATTTTCCAAAAGCTTCATTCATTAACAACGAACAAGCATTTTCATGATTCTTTTTTCTTTCCAAATTTTCGAAAGAAAATTTATTGTGATTTTCAAAAGAAATAATCATTATTATTATGTTTATTAATGCATTCCTATTCACGATATATTTATACTAGTATCATTGATCCCGCCTAGCATATAGAATTTTCTTTTTTTTTTTTTGGTTTTTTTTTTGTTTTTTTTTTTTTTTATTAATAACATGTCTGTTGTCATAATATCTCGATATTGCCGTTAAACGAATATATGTTTATTTCAATTTATGTATTTCTTTCTTTACTTTTCATTCGATGATTCGTTTCGATATATCGATATGAATGTTCATTACAAGAACAGCACAACGTTATCGAATTTCAATTCTTAGCATTCTTGAAAGTCCTTGCATCCGACTATTATAAGTGACATGAATTAAATTTAAGTATCATAAAAGTTATATATATTAAAAGTAAAATAAATTATTCAAGTTTTTTTTTTTTAAATTAATATTAAAAACAAATATAACTCCATGTCGCTTGGTATCGTTTTAATTCTATAAAATTTGCTTATGATCATTACGAATATATATATATATATATATATATATATATATATATATTATATATATATATACATATATGTATATACATGCAGACTTGTCTCGAAGAGGTTTTTTTTTTTTTAATTTTATTTTATATAATATCGAAGAGAAATAGATCGATACACGCATACTCATATACACACGCATTTCATCATACTGATCGCACACATCCTTTCGCAATTTTCGATTAATTAGCAACGATAGTCACAGCGTTTATATTGTTATAATTAATATATTGCCATTATGGTCGATGTAATTTTTAATTAAATAGAGAAAAGAAAAAAAATCCAACGAACAAACAATCACTCATCGCCGCTACTTTTATTTGATTAAGTAACGAGCATTGTGCTGAATTATCGATCGTATCATGATTAATCGATCAAGTAATTATTTAAAGGCATAGATACATACTCGTCTATGCAGGAATGTTCACAGCAGTATTTAATAGCTAATTACATTGTATTGCTCCTAAACGTTTACTTTACGAAGAATCATGAATAGTTCTCTCTTTATTTTTATCTTTATCTTTTCTTTTTCTTTGTCTTTTTCATTCTCATTTTTTCTCCCCCTTTTTTTTCTTATTTTTTTTTCATTTTTTTTTTTTTTTTTTTTCCATTTAATCTTAAGTTTATTACATCAGAGGCGTCATCGCCATTCTATCGTTCAGTCATATAAACCAGTAGCCTTTTATTATAAACGAGTTATTAAGAACCACGGCGCACTCATTGGATTGTCGAAGTCACAGTCCAACGTCATATTCTCGTCTCTTAGAAATATCAAATGTATGTATTCTCAGCTCTATCTCTTCTCGTCGAAAACAAAAAGGAAACGACAAAGAATTTCATGATTCCAATCAAGCGGGAGTTTCTTGTAAATTTTAATAAGGAATGTATACGATATAGGCTCTTAACGATCTCTCATCAATAAAGTATAAGAGAACCAATACGATAAAATCCTTTCCGTAGACGTGGTTAATCGTCAAAAATACATTTTCTCAGCCCATATAATTTCCATAAAATGCTTCAAGCTAAACTCCTAATTAATTGGAAGATATTTATTTATTCATGAATGTTGCCGATCAAATTGAAACCTTCACGTATTTCCGATTGACATTCACAAACGATCTACGTTATCAAAGTTCATAAATCCGTTCTGAAGCTGATAATTAACAAATAGAAGAAAAATCGATGAAGTTATATCATCGTTCGATCCTCATAACGTCAGCAGATCGGAAAGTTCCATGAAAGAAATTATAACCCTCGTTGGTGTTCAGATTTCAATATCAAGATGTTGGCGCGTATCCGAGATTCTTCCGTTGTAAGAAAAGTGAGATCTCGCGGAACGTCGGACGTTCGTTTTCCTCGCGACGCCAGCATTCGAGCATCAGATCGTAAATGTCTTTCGATGAAGCTGTTGGTCTAGGTAAATAATCGAAATGATCGTTCGTTCCATCGGTACAACCACTTTCTGAAGCGGAGCCATCTTCCTCGTTAGCACGATGAAATCTTCGGAGACTCTCAACCACTTCTTCGTTCGATAAATGTTCATAAGGAATTCGTCTTCCTAGATTTAAAATCTCCCAAAGAGTCACCGCGAATGCCCATACGTCGCTCTTCGTTGTATATTTGCCCTACGATAAATATATTTCGATTAAAATGATCGTGATGAGAACAAATTTTTTTTCCTGTATCAATTTTCAAATCTATCATTCGTTAGACAATTTATTACTTACTAAAAATATAGATTCCCAAGCCATCCAACGAACAGGCAAAGGTACAGTTCCATCCACTTTATAATAGTCACAGGCATATAGTTCGTTGTCTGTACCGAAGTCTGAGATCTTGATATGATAAGCTTTTCCAACTAAACAATTCCTAAGGGCACAAAAATATACGAGTTAAAATATTATAGTTTAGATATAGTTTATTTACGGGGAGGACGGGGAAGATAGAAATTCGAAAATGAAGTTCTAAGTATTACGAAGCATCATTTTATCAAACGAGGGATTAAATAATAGAATGTAACTCGGTTCTAACTTAAGTCGAAAATAAAAGTTACATGACAAAAATCGGACAGAATAATATATCTGTATATAGATATATTATATTATATTTATATACAAAATCAATTTCAAGCTCCATTGAAATCTATTTAGAGATAGTTAAGAGACGAATACAAGCAACGTACTCGTAGCTGGACAAATGACCGAGCGAACGATAGCCGAGCATCCAACGGTTATTGAATGGAGGGAATCGATTAATTTCGGTAGAACAAAGCACCAATTTAGAGGCAGAACGTCCGGGTAATTAGCTGTGCTTTATCGATCATTGCGATTGGCTGGTTCGCTTCTGATAGTTGTGCACGATTCGTGGCTTGTGTTTGTCAACGATCGTAGATAGCTTCATAGGACTAAGGAATGATAAGATTAATCCAAAAACGTCTTAGAATTCTTATTAAGTAATAGCTCTTTCGCATATTTTGCTGAATAATCCATCGTGTAGAGTAATAAATCTTTTGGTTATTATTTATATGCATATACGTATAGATATGACAGCTGTTTTGTCAGTAGAAGCTTGTTATCTGACTAGAAATGCTCGTATGATTGTATAATGAACAAGTGGTTCATGAGAAACTGCGAGGGATGCTCTTCCGAAGTTCAACAGAGAGGTACTTGCTGTGTTATGTGATAGTTATATTAGATAGATACCTGACTGTTGACTACTTGTACAACAGAGAGAAGTAAATATCTATTCGGTCTTCTACGGAATGAGTATATTAGAAATACATAGAATCAGTATAATATTATATAATATTGCTTTATTGAAATCAAACCCTTGCATTCATTGTATTCTATAATTCTATTTTACTATTGAGGAAATAATCTTTATTTGGTGAGAATATAAATGATAAATTAAATTTATCATTGACAGAGATTCGTTTTATCCTATAAAATCGAGCAATTTAGATGTCACATCAAACGAGACATAGGGAGAGGTCTCTGGGAGAGATGAAACGAGGAGGAAAGATGCAGAAACATCCTCAGGAGTGTTCACAAAGCCGTAATATCGTCGTGAAAGCGGCTCCAGGAAGCGTCTCGTGGTATTCCATTAAGATTTACGAGGGGCCGTTTGAGAGACACTGCTTCACAGGAAACTAGGTACCAGCCGTTGTGAGAGAGCATCATGCGCTTCTTGTACATGTGTATGTATCACCACTACAAACACATATCCATGGATCTCTAACGTATATGTGGAGACCTTTATTGATGCGTAGCCGCGTGTATGCATCTAAACGTTCTATCGATTCGTCGAGATAGGCCACAGCATTTCAATAACAGGAACGTACGAGATAGGTACGTGAGAGTCTCTGCCTTGGCTGATCATCCGCGATCGTACACGAACGAATGCCAACGATCTACGCGAATACTCTTGGATTATTACGGAAGGATATTCCTTTTTTTTGAAATATCTCACTTTAGTTTCACTCCTCTTTCTTTTTATCTTCATTCATTATATCAAAGAAAAGACACTTATATCGACCTAGTTGAACATATTTTTAATATCATACTATATCTGTTGTATAATACATAAATCTAATGTGTACTATAAAATTTATCATAATTAATAATGCTTAGATATTATTTTCAAAGTTATTCTATAAAATTGATCGTTCTCCATTTCTTCTTGTTTTAAAGTTAATAACATAAAGGAATATTATTTTGATAAAAAGACAATACGATAACGAAGTTGTATATGCAAACTATCTTTCAAAAGAAAATACATGTTCCTGTGTTTATAATGCAAGTACAGGAAACTCTCTGTTATCCTACCCTATTATCTGGCAAGCTTAACTAACTGATATCTTTTGCTACCGATATTCCCTCTCTTCCATAGCTATTGTTCATGACTTATTCTACTAGCAACGTAGAAACTTATCGATATCGATAATTCTGTTATGTTATGGCTGCGAGTAATAATAATAATAACAAAAAAAAAAAAAAAGAAAGTCATTGCGACAATGAAATCAATAAAATTTTTAATATTCATGCTGAATTGTATAATGTATAATGAAGTCGTGTGTGTTTGTGTGTGTGTGTGTGTGTGTGTGTCATTTGTGATTTGATTTGATTCATCACACGATTTTTTGTCATTCATTATTTTTTTTTTTTTTTTTTTTTTTTTATGTATATACATAAAATATAAAAGAAAATAGACAAATAAATTGTTCAAATAGGTATTCATCAAAGATTTATTCAACGTTGTAACATGTAAATTCAAATTTCAATGATGTTTCATAACATTTCTGCTTTTAAACTGAAAATCATTCAATTGAGATTCCCATAAAAGGAAACTAATTTTGCGTTACCATAGAGGGTAAACTTTCAAAATGTAGACACGTACCTCCGTTTACTAGCAATACACGAACAACCCTGAAATCTCACACCTTCATGTGTCACGTAACGATGCCGTTACTGTAATGAGTTACAACTTCTCGTAAGCAGAATTTCGCGACACATAGGAAAATTAGCCAAAGTAACCACATTGTTTCATCTTAATCGTTACGAAGTTTCGAATAGCGACATGTAAATATAATTTACATGCATACATACTAATGCTTTTCTTCACAGTACAGTAATTTCAGAATTGTTACTTATTAGAAGATTATCTGGTAAAAGCTTATAACATCGAGTTCATCAAAAGTAATGTAACCGTAATATTATCATGGTATTTTTAATTCAAAATATTGAAATTCAAAATAATAATTATGTTATAAAACAAATTTACTTTTTAATAACGTAGATTTCGAAATGAGATTACGATTAATATTTAATTTGCATAACGCAGATTACTTTCAGCGAATGTTATCCTAACGTAGAAAACACAGTAACGGGATTCTTGATTAAAACACAATTTATTCGGTTGGATGAGTTAGCACGCTTCTATCACGGTGCATAATTAATATAATCAGGAGTATAATTACGGCGTATTCCCGATTCGTTGACATCGAATCAGGGGCAACGAATCGTTGATTTCCCATGTGGCAGTAGTTCAACGTTTGTTTAGGAATTTATGAAAATGCACGCTCTTCGAAAACGATATAATTTAATTCTCTCGGTGACATGAAGTGATGTGACCGACTTGAGCTTCTCACGTAAGTAGAAGAATAAGAAGATAGGGAGGAGAAAGATGAAGAAGAAAAAGGAAGAAGAGAAATCAATGTCGGTAGACAGACCTTTCGTCTCGTTGCTTGGTTAGGAAAGCCCTGTGGAGAAGGAAAAGCTTTCGTTCGCCATGAAAGACGAGTTTTCGAGATAAAACGCGACAGTTCGGTCTACATAATCCTCTGTTATCCCCACGAGAGAGAAAGAGAAAGAGAGAGCGAGGAAGAGTGAGAGAGAGAGAGAGAGAGAGAGAGAGAGAAGAGGGAGGAGGGAAAGGCAGTAGTCCGCTGAGGGATTCATTCGCAGAAAGTTTCGTTGTACTCACCTAGTAGCCAAATCCCGATGCACGAAGTTGAGGTTCTCGAGATACCGCATACCCGATGCGATTTGCGCTGCCATATAGATGAGACAGTTGAAACTGAAAGGAGTAAGTACATAATACTGAGATCGAACTAATGGAAACTTGATCGGAGATGAGTCTGTTATGGAATTTCTAGTAAACTTCCAATACAATGCTTCCAATACAAGTGATTTTTCAATTACCTAAGCGTCTTAACACCGATTGGCATGGAATGGGCATCCTCTGCAGTGATATGCGTCTTTAGGAATTGACAGAGGTCCCCATGTTCCAAATATTCCATCACAACGCAGTAGGGTTCCTCACGGCAGCAAGCACCCAAAACCCTAGCGATATTGCGATCCTCGAGTGCCGCCAAAATCCTCACGTCTCTCTGGAAATCGAGCCTGTTGGATGAAAACATTGATCTTAGCAATTTTCAATATATTCAGATAGATTGATATAGATATGTAAATGTACATTTGAAGGATTATCTATGTTTTTGTGATCGATGTTAAAATAAAATTGTTAAGTATGTTAATGCATTTAATAACGATGACATTTACTCGTATTAATATGTGGAGTGATATCAAAAAGAACATTAACATTTGAAGAGAATAATTGACAGATGAAAGGTTACATTTCGGAGCAGTTTAATGTAATCGAGTTCCGGTTCCATAATTTATTACTATGAGAAGTCTAGACTGTCTGAAAAGATTGGAGCAAATTGTGTTGACTTCGTATATTGATGGATCGAACTGCCCTAATTGATATATGGTGTCACACAATCCAATAAAGATTATAGAATAATATTGGGTTCAACACATTGAAATTAGAAGATTTAATCACAATGACGGATGAATAGTTGTCGTGTGAATTAAATAAAAATTGTTCCTTCTGAGATAATTTTTGGAGAGATTTAAAAAAATTTTTTAAAGACTTTGAATTACCAAGAAAAATCTTTCCCCTATGTTAATTAAAAAGAAATGATGACATTATGCTATCATAGAGAAATCTATTGTGACTAATTTTTATGATAAGATTCATCGTAAAAATGAGGATGAGAATATTTTCATTTTCAAGTTGTTTCTATAAGAAGTTTAAGCTTTCGCAAGAGAACAGAGAGTAGTAAGGCCATGGACTTTACCGACGGTGAACGTTGCTCGACGCAGGCTCGTTACTTCGGCTTTACTTACGATCGACTTGGTAATGGCACTCTCGCGTGATAGCTTAATGCGGCCGTTAACAAAACTACAAGGCTGCTATCGATTCGCTATAAAACCGAGAATCCTGCAGTTGCTACCCTCCGCTCTCCTCCTGCTACCTTCACTGTTCGCGTTGCTGAGATCTATGACTCCGTTGGTATGAGTTGTGTTCTACGATTGTTTCGAGAAAGACAAAAAACTATTATATCAGTAGTGCAGTTGATATGAACATAAAATAAAAGTTGGATACTGGAAATATATTTTCAAGTATACAAATACTATGCATTGTTACGAAGTTGGATATTACGACACTGAAAACGTATTGCTTATGTTATATGTATTATTGAATATATTTTATTTTGATTTATTATCAAGTATAATAATATAAATTCTCTTCTGGCAGAGAAATTTACATTAAAACATTGATGTACTTTCTCGCAATAATATCAAAGCTAAAAGAAAAATTTTTCAGATAATCTTTACTGGTCCATTACTCTCGGTATTATCTTATCGTATAATATTCCCTTTCCAAGTTCGATCCCAGCGTTTTTACTTTCGACAATGTTCAATCTTGAACTTTCTTACATTTTATTAAGACGAACGATCTGGATTCTTGGCAGCTCTTTCTCTACGATCGAAACGTTTTCATCTTCTTAAAGTAAGATAAGAAGAAAGAAAGAGAGAAATAAGGAATAAGAAGGAGGAGTTAGGTCTCTCGATGACAAAATAAATGGAAACGATCAATTAAAAAAAAAAAAAAAAAAAAAAACGAAAAAAGAAAAAGAAAAAAAAAGTATCTACATACATACATACATGCGTATAAATGTAAGTATACTCTGGAGTCTGCATCACGCGATACGAAGCGTGACGCATAAAACAACCCTTATCTATTTGACCTTCGTCAGGTCATGACTACCAGAATGGTTAGCCCTTGCTAGTGTGTATTTTCTTTACGTTATTCTTCTTTTATAATCGCATCGTTTTACTTTTTAAAAATCACCCTACCAATATGTATATATACATACACATACATATATACATATATAAATATACATACCTAAAGTGATGGGTAGGTGGGGAAGGTTAAAACGAGCAACCACCAACTTATTCTCTGTGACCATAGAACGGTCCAGGGAGTGTGGTTACGAATGGCGCTACATTAGGCTCTAAAGGTACTATACTATGAAAAACGGAAGGTTTTGTCTCCGGCTCATGAAAGGGAGAAATGGTGGATCGTTTCGATCCACGAGAGAGACTACTTCGTGAGAAGGAAACTGAGGTGAGACGAAGAGAGGGTAAATTGAGAGGGTCAGAGTCACGAGACGCGATATGTTATACCGAACTGTGGGAAACTTGTTGCGTGAGTTATCGAAGACAAAGCGTCGGTATGAACCGACTATTCAACTTCGAAAGTTTATGTTTGATGTATGAAGGTTCTACAATTTTTTTTTCTTTTTTTTTTTTTCACCAGAGTATTTTATTTTATTAGTAGTCTAAAAGACGAAACAAGAAAACGAATAGTATAGGATTTATGACGTCTTAGAATACATTTCGATATATCATGGGATATGAGAATTGTGCGATATGATTAAATGATAAAGCTTTTTATGAAATATGATTTTTTTTTTTTTTTTTAATATCAAATCATCGTCTTGATTAAAAATTCACATTCTTGTTCTGATTTACTACACGAGGTACTGTGAAGTTACTACAAAGACAAACTTATACGTCGATCTTCCCCTGGTATTTCATCATTGTCATTGAAAGGAAGAAACGATGGCGAGGTGAAATGGTGAGCTGGAAGGAGTCAGGTTAAGGAACGAAGCTTTGTCATTTTGTGAGGAGATTTGGTCGAAGAAATCCAAGAAGGAAACCGTCGTCTCGGTTGTCTCTCTTCTTTTCTCTCTCTCTCTCTCTCTCTCTCTCTTTCTCTTTCTGTCTCTCTCAGCGAGAGAGACCAAAGTTCCGGTCCACCCTATCTCCCTGGTCATTGTATGCAAATCTATTCCATTCGCCGAATCGAAACTGGCTTTTTTTTCTGATGTCCAAGCGCGATAGCCGCGGGAACGAACGGCTCGTCTTCGGGAGCCTGGGCTTATCTGGTAGATTTTTTGCCAACGTTCCTGATCGTACACCGTGGGGTTCCTTTCTATGAACAAACGAACGACGACGTGTGTCCGTTGATGCGTGGCCCAGACTATAGGACCTCTGGCCAAGAATATTTTAGAGGTGAACGAGATTTTGGCCAGCATCAAAAGGATGGGGTTCTACTTTATTGAGCCTAAATATGGCTTATAGACGTGACGAGTCGTGTAGATTCTTATACATAAACCCGATCCAAATACATCGTGTCTTAGAAATATGATGATTGGAATAATCAATATATCGCAATAGAAAAAAAACATTGATTAAATGAATTGTGATTATCTTGCTAATTGCATTGATAAATAATCCAATTGATAATTAATAATGATTGTGATCTATCATTCAAATAGATATTTAGGAGGTTTTAAAAAAATTTATACTTCGCTTTTTTTTTATACTTCGTATTCCTTGGGATCAATATACACTACAAACATGAATAAATCGTGATAAAATCGTGAGTGGAGTATCGGTGGAACGAGTACTATGTTTATCGTTTTAACAAAATGAAGAGAATGTAAAAGAATAAAATGAGACGGGAGGGGGCAGGGAAATGAGAGAGAATTCGATCGAGCGTACACTATAATACGAGAGAATGCAAATTTCAAGATTCCATGTAAAGTTGCATGTATACATAATCATGTGCGCGCATACATATATATATATATGTATGTCTGTGTATTCGTATACTCACTTTTCCTTCTCGCTGGCTTCCGGTAATAAAAACTTGACGGCGACGAAACGTTTGCCAAGGGTGGTCGTTGTTCCATACTCAGGAATCCCTTCGGCTTCAGCAACATATACCTTTAGGAGAAAGATATCTGTTTTTTCTCTCTTTCTCTCTCTCTCTCTCTCTCTCTCTCTGTTTTCTCTCTTACTTCTTATATTTCGTTTTTCTTCGTTAGACAAATCGTTTTACTTAAAAATATGAAGGGGAGGCTGAGAGATGAATCGCTTCGAATTCGACGCGCGTTTTAAAATTATTGCCGCGGTGGTCGTCGCTTTTATATCGTTCGCTATGTTAGAAGGGGAGAAAGAAAAAAAAAAAAAAAAAAAAAAGAAAACGAAATGCTTTCGTGAGATAGATATATGCTCGCGAGTTCGTTGAATTCTTTCAAGACTTTTCAATCTGATGGAGTCTGGTAGTATTTCTTTGAAATTGTCGACGTGTGTTTTAAACCACCCCTATCGACTCTACGGAGTTTGATGCATCCAACTCCTCCTCTTTGGATATACGTTATATATCTGCATGTTTAAATTGTTAAATACTCATCCTTTGATCACAGTGATATGAAAGAATTGTTTTTCCCAGTTGACACTTTTTATTAATAATATAATTTTATATATGCTTGTTAAAGTTTATATCAACGATAAATGTATATATATATATTTTTTTTTTGTTAACCTTTATCGCGACTTGAAACAATGCATTGGCAACTGGGGATCAATATATTTTCGCAAACTCGACGATGCGGTGGTACTTTGAAAGGGTGCCGAAAGCGGTGACTTCGGTCTAGCCGGTCATTAACGCTACCCGATGTACACGAGGGGCGGAGTACAAAAGGGAATTATTAGCCGCGCTAACACATTCTAAATTGATCATACTCGACGAGTCTCGGCCGACGAGGTGGCATTGTATCGAGGAAGAATAATACTGCGCTTCGTTAATCGACGTATTGTTGCGTGCCTTGAAGCTCCGTACTCACTAGCGCGAGTACGCGAATGGACTTTGGTTCGAGAAGTTGCTTCGTGCGTTTCTCTTTCAACAAACGGATTGATTTCCTGATCATCATCGGTTGATAGGAAGTACCGTCATTTCGTAAATTGTGGATAAATTGGAACCACTTTGTTGTGCCATTCATCGTCGTTTTATTCGATAGTCGAACGAATGTCAAAGGCGACGACCCGTCGAATTTGAAGCTGTCAAGGGGATTGATTTATTTTTTAACGATTTTCTAAAAGCAACAGAATTATCCGCTTTATTTTTAAGTCTAATTAAGAATTTTCCTATCATTTGCAATTTCAATTGAATATTCCTTTAAAATACATAAATTTATTGATATTATAAAAGAAATTATTATTGTAAATATGCTTACCGTCCCGAAAGCACCTTCAGCGAGTTTGGAAAGCATGCGAAGGCGATGTCGTGGGAAGAGCGGCACGCTCGTTTGCTCGAGACGTCTTTTCAAGGCCGACAGTACCTCCTGTTGTGTTGGTGACTGCAAAACCGAGGAACGATCTATTGTGCTGCTGTAGCCATTGATAATCGACAATCGACGATCACGCTAACGTTGGTAAAGCACGAAATGGTTTAACGAAAGATCGGTTTTATTTGATGTATCGTTGCTCCTACTGTATCATTATATTGTCATATTTCGAAAATTATATGAGTCATAATAAATATAAATATAAATATAATAGGTAAATGATATTAAAGAATTTGATGCTAGATATAAAGTATTGGAGGAAAAATAAAATAGAGGGTAGAAATAAAAAATGAAAAAGCTTTTGTCAAAGAATGTGCGGGGAGTAGAGAAGGGCAGTTAGGGATAGGTTGAATTAATCGAGGATACGTTGATTGGCATTGCTACCGATGCGTCAAGGGCAGAGAATCGACGGGGGTGGTAGGGTGAAATGTTTTGACTGTTTCGAGTGGTACTGTCGTATGTCAATCACGAACAGACGGGTACCGACGTAGACATGAGCACTTTCGGATTTGGATCGTCCCAACCGGAGTATTGTATTCGGATCAATCTCAATCCGAAACTATACACATCCGATACGAGAATACCATTTACTTTACGAGAGCGCATACTAACGTATCTACTAGTTCGTTGTTTCTTTATCCGAAAGACTAGAAAGCAAAGCAAAAGGAATCGTTTGTCGACAATGAATGTTTTCGTGCTGATAAGTACACGATAATATGAAGTTATTTAATCTATTTAATTTAATTAGAAAAAATTTCTTTCAGTTTCTTTCATTTAATTATTTTTAAATGTTAAATTAATCTGAAATAGGAATAATTTTGTTAATAGTATCCCAAGTACGTACAGAATACCACATATGGAACATTACTTGATGTAACAAGATTTCTCGTTTCTATTTTTTATTATTCGAAATGTTTTATGCACCTTTACAACCGAACAGTCAACTAGTTTTCGTATTGTATCGAAATTCTGGACACGAAGTAGAGCTCAGTGTACCCATGGGACGAAAACCAATCTACCCGAAAAACATTCCAATCTCTTACCAGAACCTAGTGATTTAAATAATTAATTTCAATTTTTTCCCGTCGGCCAGACGGAGGTACTTTCAACGGAAGGACTCCAGTTGTATACTCAGATAGATAATAAAATATTGAATTTCATTCTGAAGTATAGATGGAAGATAAATTTAAATGAAGAATTTTAAATTAAATAACATCACGTACGAAATCGTAATCAACTTCTATAAGTCTATTAGAAATATGTTATATGAAGTGTGCGATCTTATTGGCGTAGGAATAGATATAATCAATAGGTCAAAGTGATAAGATCATGATTGATTCAAATTGAAACTGACCTTCTTGTCCTCGGTTTTAGTGCTATGTGAAGAATTTTTAGAGAAGAGACTGTCCTTGTCGCTGGTAGTACTGGATACTGTGGTGGTTCTAGCGCATCCTCCGGTTCCTTCTTGGTTGAGGAGAGGTACCGTGCCGAGTTCCGGTACCGCATAATCGTACGATGTGTCAACTGCACCGTTCGCGTACACTGCTGCAGATGATATAGCAAAGGAGGAACGGATGTAGAAGGGGATGGCGTATTGATTGCGGTTAGGGAAATGCTTTGTACGTTGATACGTATTTGTGGATGTTAGTGTACCATCAGCAAAAGCTAGTCGTATGTTCTAGGAGTAGGTGTAAGCGTATGTCCGTGAATGTATCGGCATGGTACCGTTCGAACGGCGCATACCTGAGTGATTGATGTTGGTGCCCTTGTTGTTCAGCATCATGTCTTTCATCTCCATAACGACGGTGCTGTAGCTGTAGTATGGAGCATACTTCAACGCTTGGTAGGGTTCCTGATAGTCATCGAGCTTGGCGATATCCAGGAGACGATTGCCCAGATCACGTGGTAGGGTAGGCAAAGAACCCCCGGCGTATCTAGCACGACAAAAAAGAAACGATCTTTGACTAATTGCAGAGCTTTCTTCGGGACAAACAGCAGATTTTAGTTTTCAAGAAATGTCTAGATGTCGATTATTTTGATGACAAGATTATTAATAATTAGATTTTTTGATGAAATTATGAGCTTTCTTTATGATCAAATTAAAGTAAATATTTAAAGGTATGAATTTAATAAAGATTTCCGCGTGAATCAATATAACGATATTGGTATTTTACAAATGTAATATATACGATTGTATTTGTATACCTTTCGTCGTCTTCCAAAGTATAAGCCATTAACGCTGCTCCTTTTTCAACGGTGGCACAGGTTGAACCTAAATGTGATGGGGCTTTTCCAGTCATCGGACTGGCAAAGCATTTGCGTTGTCTGTGCCTTGAAACAATCAGAAATATCGCCACGGCAAGGAGTAGTATCACTGCCATCAATACACCGATTACGATTGCCATGTAAGTTGGATCATCGTGTTTAGCAGTTGAAACAGGAAGTTCACCGTCAACGCCTGATCCATTTTTTTCAACAAAAACATCACTTTGAATCGGTGATTCCGTGGTAGGTGGTTCTTCCGTTGTGAAATTACCGTGAGCTACATCTGGAGAAAATAATTTTTCACACATTATTATAATTAATTTTAAACAAATTTTATTATTAAAGTTTTAAAATAAATACAACATAGCAAGTATATATCTGAGTTTTCAAACGGTTTTTAATATAACTTTATAAATTTATATATTATCTTCAACGATTATCCAGAAATAGGATGTTTACAAACTGCAAATGGCTTTGTCGAGGAAAAATCGTCGTGCAGTCCACACATTATGATCGCACGAATGCTCGTGACGACACGAAAAAAGAAAAGTGCAGTTTCCTATTCGAGACTCTTTCTTTTGCGTCCTTCAAAGCGAAGTAATCGTGCGTGAGGCGCGCATGAGGATGTTCCTTTGAAAGATAAGCATCGGACGAGGATAGCGAGTGATGGAAAAGAAAAATGTAAAAAAAGAAACGCCGTGCGAGCTATTAATGCTGGACGGCATCTTATTCCACGAAAGCTTTTTTCTACGTGCACGTGGAGCATAAAATCAACCTATTTGTGATCTGACGCATCATCGATAAACCAAGAAAGACGATAAAGAAATAACAAAATGACGTAGTAATATTGACGTAGCTTATAATTTTCAAACATTTTAAAATGAATTATCTCGTCAAAATTCAAAGGAACGATATTGTTTTGCGAATTTTGAAATTAATTCCAACGATTATTACGACATAATTCTATGATAATTTTAATCCTTTTTAATGAAAACATTGTTTTCAATTGAATTTCAGTCGGCTTTGTTTGCGACGAAGAAACAAAATGGCAGACGAAAATAAGGAGCAACATAAATGCATCTAGAGTTGACGAGAGAGAAAAAGAGAGAGAGAGAGAGAGAGAAAGAGAAAAGGAATGGGGAAAGAGAGCAGAGGAAGGTCGAGAAGCGAACGAATGAGGCTTTTCTTCGTGGCAGGTCGCGTGCGGTATTCCGTGAATTCCCGACAGGATTATCCCGGGCGAAACAAAGCTGTCATCGCGTTTGATATCGGTTTTTACGTGTCCTGTTTCTCGACATCATCCTTTTGCTTCGTCGTAATGCTAGGAACAAGCCCAAACCTTTACTTTCTTTCTTTTTTTCTCTCTTTCTCTCTCTTGGAAGTCTCCCGCATGATATTCGATATTAAACATTCTTTATACACGGAGATATAAACTATAAAGGAGTTTGCCAACGGCCATATTGCTTGGTTCTCTATCGGTGTCAGATGTTGCAGGAGCAACTCTTAACAAGCTTGTAATAAAAAAGATTAACGGAAATTGAAATTCAACTCTACGACTTCGATCGTCTACGGCTTCTTCGAATTAATATTTGAAATAAACATTTTATTAGCTTCATGCAAGATGAAAATATTTTTTCATTCCATCCAGTGATATGAAATCACTTAGGATATGTAGAAATGTTGGATTTGTAAGAGCAACGACGACGGAGATGTAATTACGCGTTCACATACAGTTATTTGGACTGTAAATCATCACTTCGTAGGATGCAACTGGATGCCTTTCTTCATTTCCGCGAGGAGATCCAAGCGGCGCAAAGAAGCAGAAGAAGAAGAAGAAGACGAAGAAAAAAAGGAAAAGGTGTAAGCGAGCCTTTCGTCGCGTGTGAGAACGACTTGAACGGCGTTTAAGCGAGAAGCCTTTACGACGACGAGAGCTATGAATTACTTATCTAAGATGTGTTGGTATTCTAATATACAGGGTGTCTCGTTATTTCGTACACTTTATTTGAAAAATTTTTTTTTCATTCCACCGACGAGGATCGAAGTGTTCAGACGTATGTATTAAATTCGAATAATTTCATGAAAACAATTCGATCAAGTAAGATATAAAGAAAAATTACAAATATAACAATTTGAAATGGCTAAGAATTCTTTTAATGAGAATTCACCGAGTACGTTCATGTAAAATTTTATTTACTCCTTCCACCTACAGGATATCATCTTGCAAAGAAGACGGGCGATGCTAAGACGCTCTGAATATAGTTTTATGAGTAGGAAAGTAAAATAGCTTCGTGCGTATGCGTGTTTATGTGTTGCATGCATGTGCAGCTGACGCTCAACGTCAAACGCAACTAATGCGCTCCTTGATCTCGCGGCCTGTGTCGCGCGCACAGCTCTCGCCAATTTTAAAGCCCTTTGATTTACCGCTCGGAATGGAAATGCAGTAGTACCCTCTTCCCCCTTCTACTCCCCTACCGGCCCTTCTCCGTTTCTCTAACCACCATTGCTCGCGAGTGACCTGTTTTTCCTCCGTCCTGAAGGATCATCCAAGCGAAATCCTACGATTCCGACAGAGAATTCGCGGAATTTACGGAATAGTATGTGATATTCTCTGCTAAACGTCACTTGAACACGATATCTTAAATATTTAAAGAACAGAAAGAGCCATTCCCAACGGTGAAATATTTTTGCGTGATGCAAGACGATTTGTGAAGGTACAGAGAATAGAAAATATTTCCTATTTCATGACTTTAGTTGGTCGAGGGAGAACAACAGAGGATATCTTTTTAAAAGAAAAGAAAAAGAAGAAAAAAAAAAAAGAAAAAGAAAAAAAAAGTCTTTAGTATCCTCGGAAGTCACATATGACACGAATGAAATTCACGTACGTTTTAATATCATGAAGTCTTTTTAATTGAAATATAATATATGTCTATAAAATAACGAATAAAGAGTATATGATTTTAATATATCATAAAACAATTTTGCCTGCTCCGTGGAATTCGATCGTAGTCGATATCAATGTTCCGCTATTTCTTCCACCCATGAGATTTATTTAAAAAATGTTGGTAATAAAGACAGAAATATTCATTGAATTCCTAAGTTTCCAAGTTTCCTCGCTATCCGGCTTGTTTTTTTTTCTTTCTTTATTCTTTTTCCATTTTTTTCTTTTAGTTTTTTTTTTTTTTTTTTTTTTTTTCTTTCTTTTATGATCTCGATGCCGGATTGTTCATTGGACTTTCTGCGATGCACATCGACTCGTTTCTCGACGCGAAAGGAATTTCAACCTCCCCGTCTTCTACCCTTCTTCTTTTTCACCCTTCAACTCCCTTCGTTCATTATTTACAGACATCGGTTACAGAGGACGGTCATATTTGTATGGTATGTCGTTAAAGCGCGACTCATTTTTCTTCGACGTCTGTTGCTTCATTTTTCTACTCCATCAATCCCCCTCTTACCCTTCCACACCACAATATCATTGGTTGAAACGAACGGAGGGTGATTGTTCGATCATGAATTTCACGCGTAACGCGCGAAAGAGATCCCTATGAAATTATCTGTATGGACTGAAAGTATAGGGGAGTATTGCAAAGGATGTTCAGGGAGAAAAGGGTTGATAGCGATCCTCTATAGAAGGATAAAGAGTAGGAAAAGTCGTTGGGATAAAGTAAGCCAGCATGGTATGCCATTAAAAACAATCCTTTTTAAGCTGTATATAGTGTTCTTTTCCTTTCTTTTTTGTTTCTCAATTTTTAATTCATTTTTTCAAACAAACTAACTAAATTAGTCAAGAGTAATAAGCATATTTCATTTATTAGATTTTCATATATCATATAATGAATTATTTATGTTCAATGGTGTGTCAATTTCATGTTGAATTTTAACGTTACATTTGATACGAAAAGAGTGTCTCGTGACGATGAGTTTTTTTTTTTTTTTTTTCGAGAAATAGAAAAAAAAAGTAACAAAAGTGGAGTTAGAACGTTATTAGCAAGCCACCGCAGTATGAAGTTCACTCACTTGACTCGTTCGTTTGGTACTCTTATTCCTCTTTTCTTCTCGTTGGCTATGTAGTCTCAAAGTATTCTACATATTTCACAGAAGTACTCTGCCATCTTTTTCCTATACGTGCTTGCATGAACGAGTAACGCGAATATGAATGTGTTTTAACCATGAGTCGGCATTAATCGGAACGATTCCTTAAAGCTCACTTATTCGGAATCGTTCGACGATTCTCATTCGACTGTACGAAAGCTCTTTCGAGAGTTCTTTGTGTGCGGCCTAAGGGTTATTATTCTCCTCGAAGTCTACCGATTCGGACTTACCTTTTGTATTTCTGTCTTTGTATGTGTGCGTGACTTCATTAATTCCTAGATGCATTTTAAGTACATTGATCGTACCTACTCTTCCTAATTCTCTTCTTCTAAGTATCTTTACCTCATATATTAAGTAATATTAAAATTGTTTTATTTGAAATTGTTTTATCTATTAAAATATCTCTTAATATTTATTAAATCTATAAAATATCTATATAATATTTATTATATGAAATATTTAAATGTTAGATGTATTTTAAATAGATTGATCATAGTTCTCTTTTTAATTTTCTTCTTCTCAATAATATATTAAGTAATAATAAGATTGTTCTATTTGAAATTATTAAGTGTCCATTTAAACGTCCCTCAATCGTACATATAATCGATCAGTCAGCTTTTGTACATTTTTATCCTTTAATAAGTTTATTATTTAATGTAATAAAATCAATTGAATTGCAAGAAGATTTTACGAAGAATGATCCTGCGTTTATGATAAATTATTTCTGAAACATTCGAGACAATGCATCTCTTCTAGCACGGCAGTTCTCTTCGGTATATCCGCGATTATAAATCATCTTGCTTTCACATCCATATTGGAAGGACTGGGTGCCTCGATAAACACCGATAAGCTCTTTGTAAGATGCAATTTCCTGACGGAACTAAGTTAAATCAGATGGAATTTACTTTCAATGAAACAGAGAGACAGAGAGACAGACGGAGAGAAGAAATAACGGAAGAAATTTCAAAGACGTACTTCACGATTTTATATCTTTCTTGATAAAGAATCGTACTCGCGTATAATGCTACCAGTCTGTTATATCTCTTCCAGGAAACGATCGAGAAAACGTAAGAAAGGAGAAACATGGAAAAGAAGAAATTCTTGGAGTGTGCATTAAATCGAATTGTGAGTGATTTGCGATTTCGTAAAGAGAAATGAAATGAGATATTGTTGAGGTAAAAAAAAAAAAAAAAAAAGAAAAAAAAGAAACGAAATTGACATGGGAAGAAAAAATTCTGACGAGTTTGATCAATTTCATAAAAATATATACGCGACATATCTTTGAATTTAATGGAAACAGGACAAACGTATTTATAACCGATCCACAATTACTGGTTATATCGATTAAAATCGCTATCGGAGTTATATTTTTTATCGATTGACAGTCGGTAGGCTCTTGAACGACCATCGATCCGAAAGGGACGGATTATAAAGAGAGATACGAATACGATCTGTTCCTGCTGAATTGAAATGAAATGGCCAGGCTTTCCGAAAGAAACAAAAAAAAAAAAAATAGAAAAATAGAAAAATAAAAACAGAAAAAAGAAAAAAAAAATATATATATATATATTTCTCTTTTCCGTTTTGAGTAAAGTCCATGCCAGTCAAACGATTTCACGTCACGAACAGATTTTTCTAGCTTCCGATCAAAAGCGTGCCAACGATAACGTTGCTTTCGTATCATCGTTTACATTGTATATATATATATTTTTTCTATGTATGTAATGTATATATGTAAATATACATGCAATGACAGGATCGGTGAGAAATTGAAGAGTTGAACACCTTTTTTTTTTTTTGTCTATATAAAAATACAAAAGAGAGGACTTACCAGAATCGAAAATCACTTCGCTGATCATGATCCATCTGGCGGAAAAATGGAGTCTCAATTTCACGTACTTGCCAATACGATGGTGAAGCTTGATGGTGACGTTACGAGACGTTTCGAATATTTTGTCCTCCATGTAGGTGTAGGTAATCGGCTCACCGTTGTAGTATCTCCCACCTATACTGAAGAGTATGTCGACTTGCGAGAAGATCTGCGATTAAAAAAGAGAACGGCCGAGGTATAGAGATGAAAAAAAAATCAATACACTCGAATCCCGATATATTTCCTAGATGGAAAAATATCGACAGGAAAAATAGTGATAATGTACAATAGTACGAAACAAGTCGTCTGAATGATTGTTTCGTTTATAAACATTAGAAAGAATTGATGCAAATATTCTCTACATTCTTTTTTCTTCTTTTTTTTTTTTTTTTTAATGTTTTTCTATCGCGCGACGATTAAGCGAAGATATTAGAATTATAGATTGTTTTCCTTATTTATTTCAAAATATGTTTTTTATCAGATTATTACGCGATAATCCGATTAATATTTTAAATTAATTTTTTTCTTTCCTATCATTTGTTTCTAAGAAAAACATTTCTTATTTATCATATTGTTTTAACGAAAGATCTGATATTATTTTATTTTATGAAAAGATGACTATGAATAATGAAAATATGTATTTCTTCAAAGTTTCTACTTCGTTCGGTTTACATAATAAACATCCTTATCCCAGGAGAAAATCATCCTGTGGATGCACGTTTAGCGGGGTAACTCTTGTATGCTTCTAAGAGGGTAGTAAGGGATTGGAAACACGGGGTAGTAGGAGTAAAGGTCGTGCGGCTATTGAGGACATCATAAAAGTTTAATGTGTCCCTAAAGTTCGATGGAGTATATGATCTGATCATAAATCAAGGCTATCATTCGAGGTCGCGTTGGCTTTACATAGAAGGAGATTGAAGTAGAAGTAAAACCGAGTCGTCTGATTTGCGTCTCTCTAATTTTATATCCGTTCGTTTCTGAGAAAAAGAAAAGAAAACGAGTGAGCACTCTGCAAAGAGAGATAACATGGAAATGAAATGAAGAGAGATTGAAATAAAATCGAATTTGAGAAACTGTTCCGGTTGAAAATGAATGTTCGGAAGTGATTACAGATTAGTTTGCATATTTGTCAGAGTTAAATATGTTCAATTTGAAGACCGAATGAAGATATTTTTGACACAATTAAATTGTATGACGACGGATGGAGTACGATTTATCTTTTAGGACGAATCAGTGCAACGTTTTCATGATATACACTATGATAGCTATTCCATTATACTCGATAAAAGCTCGTTTCGTCCTGACGATACAGTCAAAAAACTTTCTCGAAGTAATTACGACCAAGGGAATCAAAACTCCGAGCGAAAGAGAGAAAGAGGGAGAGGGAGAGAGAGAGACAGAGAGAGAGAGAGAGACACGCACACACATAAAAGAAAAAAGAAGGAAAAAGAAAAGAGACGGACGTAGCTCAAAGCTGTTCGACCGTACGCGAGTTAAGGGAATATCGAATAATCGCACTTAAACTTCTACCGTGGCTAGTTGTAGAAGGAAAAACTTTTTCCAAGAAGTAAAAGTAGAAGTAAGAAGGAGAAAAGGATGACGTTTTCACCAAAATATTCACATTTCTCGCACGTATTTTGGATTGAATATGTCGTAGATATCGTCCATCTCGTAATTTCCGTTATATAAAACCAATTCCCGAAGATTCGTATAGCAACGTTACTTGGTGTACATACAAGCGGAAAATGGTATCGTATAACGGAAAGGTGGTCGGTATCTATTGGTAACAGCATAGGCATTCCGATATCGATATGCTAAAGCAAAATACCGTATAGAAACCTTCGCATCGTAAGGTTCCATAAAGCTTGCTTGTATCGTACTATCTTACAACAGAATAGAAATTCGAAATTCCATCTTGTTTTGCGTCATTTGTTGCATCCAATTTTTTTTAGCTGAGCTAACGATGAGAACGGAACATGTTGAATAAGTTGTTGAAAAAATGTTCGTTTAATATTTATGATCTTTCACAATGTAGAACATCCATTCGATGTAAAAAAAAAAAAAAAGGAAAAAAAAAGAATAAAAGAAAAAATGTTGGTAATATTTTATCACGTTAAAAAATAAATTTGCTATCTTATTTTTGTTCAAAGTTCTCTAATCCAAAAGAGCATCGGCAAGTCAGAGATGTAAAGTATTAAAGGATCTTTCATGAAACTCTTTAAAAAAACATATTCTTTACTTTTATTTATAAAAAAAAAAAAAAAAAAAGTAAGAGAATTTTGCCCTTTTCGTTCCATTAGTCTGTCATAAAATTTTATGTATTAAGTTAAATTTTGATAATGTACAGACTATACATTTGACGGTACGGAAAGAGTATTCGTAAATAAAAAGAAAAGGAAAAAAACAACAGAGGGGAACGTTAGAAAGTGTCACGATAAACGAAGGAAAATGCAATCGCGTTAATTTATGCACTTTGACAAGAAGCTGAAGAGATCCTGCTCGTACCGCTTTGGGAAGTGTCGTGAGAATATCGATCTCGTCGAAAATGGGTGAGATTAGGCGAAATAACACCATGAGGATCTAAGGTGGCATCGAAATGTCAAGAACACGTCGCCGAATATCTTCGAATTGACGATTAAACGTTCGGTGCATTAAACGTGACTCTTTACCTCTCATTCGTTGAAGATCATTTTGATAATCGCACAACGTAATTTTATAGTACGTAATATAGTTCGTACGTGATCTTTATCTTGGTAATGAAAAAAACTTTGAAAATAATAAAAATGCTATTAAATGAAATTTAAACAATTTTATTTTCTAGCCTATCATCCATATAATGCATTTTCCATTTCCCTAAATTCCGGAAAAGATTGGTTCGATCAACGACACTTTCTATCCCTCTTTTTTGACTAACTCCCCTCGGCACCTTCCCTGCAACAATCCCGGCAGGACGAATTTTTAAATCGACAAGAACCATTCGCCGAGAACGATTCTGTTTTGATCAAAAGTCGGGGCTTTCCATTTCTGGCAACGTTCAATAATCTCCCATGCATATTTCATCGCACGCGCCGTCAAACATTTAAATGCACTATAGAGAGAGAGAGAGAGAGAGAGAGAGAGAGAGAGAGAGAGAGGCGGAAAGTGCGCGCACGCGAGCGCGTTCAAAGCGGATTTATTGCGAGGCTAGTGAAATACGCGCGTAACGCGCAAATGGTACGTAACGTGAACGCGTCTAGATATACACCAATACAAATATATCTATATAAATACAAAGTTATACATATGTATATAATGCATCATATTATATTAGGATGATGTACTTCGTTCAAAAGATTAATACATTTTCTGTGATACTACGCATAGAGAAAAAAAAAGAAAAAAAAAGAAATACCCAATATCTTGTTCAGTATTCTTTACTTTTCTTCATCCATACTTTTAAACTTAACTTTTCAGAGGTAAACTTAAAGTTGGACTATACATGTTTAACATTTCCAAAGTTTTCCAAACTAGACTTACGAAAGATATATCCGAGCACATCTTAAACAATAAAGAAAAACTATAAAAATTAATAAGTGTCTCACATAGTTCAATGTAATTGAATAAAATCGTAGATGATAGAGGAATGATACAAATGAAAGTATCTCGGATCGATGCTGCGTTCACATGAGTTTGTATTCCATGGACACGTATTCGATAAAGCGTCGTGCGGAATATTCAATCAAGCGACAGCAAGCAGCTGGTTCGTAAGACGCCAAGACGTGGTGGTAAAAGGTGGAAAGAAAACTCAGAGAAATACCGAGGGTAAGCCTGTTGATCGACACTGTCTTCACATTCCTTTCGAGGGCTAAAGGAACAACATTGCTAAAGCGAAGGTAAACGATTCTTTCGTGAGGTCAACGACTTTACGTCTAGTATATTTTATCGACAGAAGGTTCCCGGGGTTTCTCTACATTTTTCGGTTAAAATATATGACCGAACGTTTCGTTCGCTTGTATTCAAGAAACGGGAAAATTGAGTGAAACATTTTTCATATAATCATATTTACGACGCAAACATAATCCAGGTCAAGTGTTAGCTTTTTCTAAAAGTGAACTGTGAATTGAATAACATTCATTGTTTCAAACATGGTTGAACAAACATTTCGATCATTCCGATCCACTAACCTGAACGTCTCTGGTGAACTGGTTGTTGCAGTAAATATGAATTGCCGAGAATTCTCTGACTACATCGAACTCAAATTTAATTTCAATCGGTTGATCACTTCGTGTATCGTTTCTCCAGCCAACCCAACCTTGTCCTCGATCGTCATAATAGCCCATTTTGAAATCATCTGGGCCCGTTTTACCGTCAGTTAATTGGCCCAGTCCACGACGAAGTTCATCGTCCCAATGGCCATCGTAAGTGGCATCGAAGAATTCCCATTCGTTTCCTCTTTTGTCACCTTGAGGCATCGAGTAGGAAACCACACCATCTGATAATCAAAAACATATATTCTTTACCAAGTTATCTCTGAAATAATTAAATTGGATTAGACCTGGAGAATCTTTAGCTTTGAAGAAAATCATGCTAATGTCTGACTCGGTATTATAGGATCAACTTGTACGTGAACGATCTACAATCTACGAAGGATCTCTTCCAGTAGTAAAATGGGCACGTGTTTATGCGATGCACAGCTTTTCCCCGCTAATAGAACGTTCCAAGCTGGCATACCAAGAGGACTGAGAAGTTTCACGAAAATTGGCAAGTGCAAACAGCTTACCGCTCCAGTAACACCCGTAGAGCTCGACCCGCATGCAAACTGTCCGCGTGTGACGGCTGAAGGGCAGAAAACGGATCTTGCTAGCCCACAGAGGTGGCTCCAGTTCATGCTTGGACTCCAAATACGTGTTCGTATTGCCTGGTATTACCTGCAGGCAGAGAGAGAGAGAGAGAGAGAGAGAGAGAGAAAGAGAGAGAGAGAGAGAGAGAGAGAGAGAGAGAGAAAGAGAAAGGAGACGTCAGCTAAAGACCATGATAATTTCAGTTTCCGCACCGGCATTTGAATTCTGCAGAATAAACTTGCTCAGTCTCATTAGCCCAATTATACTGAGCTATTCTTGTTGGCTTTCATTGTCTTCAAAAAATTCAATTTTAATATTCTTATTATATTTACAATAAAAGAAGAAATCCAAAGATTATATTGAACAAAATTACATTAATGATCAATCGAGAGTGATGCATAGTTTAACCGTAATTAAACGCAACGTAGCTATGTTTATATAGGCCACATAATAGATCGTGATTAGTTGGTACATGGAATACCGCTGTCTTCTCCTGGATGTCTTGTCATAAGGACGAATTTCGCATTCCATTTCATCGGTCGGGATTAAGGACTAATTTCAACCTACATTCCAAGACGTTAGATATAACGACGTGGAAGAGATAGTAAGCAAGAGTACTCGAAACATTTAATAAATAAATACATATATCTTGATACATATACTATATCAAAGAATATATAAAATATCTTAAAATAATAAAAGAAGATTATTAATCATGTTCCTTCTATATTGAGTTTCATTAATCATTATTTATTCCTATTAAAGTTTATTTATATTAAACTTATATTTATTTCTCATACTTTCAGTAACATAAAGAACGAGGAAAGTGTGAGGACTATAATATTGATTTTTGCAAGTTTATGAATAAAATAAGCAGTTTATCTAACGTTGAGCGACACAAGGAAAGAGATGAAAGAGTATAGAGTATAAAGACAGGCGGAATGACCGAGTATGTACTAGGGTGTATATGTGTATGTGTATATGGTGTCCCGAGAGATCACGCGAAGTGGCGTTGCCCATGGTGAGCAGATAGCAAGCTACAGAATATGTATATAGTAAAAGCATTTACTTGGTGTACGTGTTCAATGTGTGTTCGTGTAAGCTTGATAGTTTCTTGCGTAGAGAACACAGCGTATAACACGGTCGCGTGACAAAGTATTTTGTGGCAGACACGACACATTCTGTGCACGTTTCGTTGCCCGGCACACGTTTCTCGCCTTCGGACACCTTTATCACCCTCCTTGCTACTACTACGACCTTCTTCCTTTTTTGTTATTTTCGTCTTTGAAGGTACGAGCATGCACCATCGACTTCAGTTTTGGTATAGCCAATATCGGTTCACTGCTCGATACATATATGTATATGAAGTGATCCTTTAGCTCTCTTTGCAATTCTTGAATATATAGTACTAGTTTCCACAATAATATTTTAGATGATAAATGAATACAGTTTTTATGCAAAATTTATCCCTTTGATATTTTATTTCCTATCTTCCAATAGATCAGAATTCAGTTTGACGTTCGAAATTTTTAACGGAAAATTATTCAATAAATTGACTTTTACAGTTGAAATATGTTTAATAGAGGTCTTTTTTTTTTTTTTTTTTTTTGTTTAAATATCTTTGTTTTTACTGATTTTATTCATAGTTTACAAATTGTTGTATCATTATAATCTATCTAATATATTAAGTATCAAATTTTATAATCTATGAAGACAACAAAGGCACTATATTATTATAAAATTTTCATTTTTACCATTTTTCACTATACCAGGGATAACTTTCCTAAAAAGTCTGGTTTAAGTTCGTTGTACGGAAATCGCATATGCGCTAGTCGGTGCAACCTGGAGCCACGCCTGCAGTACTTAGCGTGCGAGATCGCAATATCTTTCTTCCCCTCGTTTCTGCTGTCGGTATCATACGTTGTCAAGGAGCAATAATGCGGTGCAACGTGCACGATGAATATGCACGTTATTTCTTCATTACGTAGTCATAGAACGTTGTACCAGTTTGTCCCAAAAATTCTTCCCATTCGAACGATTTACGATTCTTTTAAATCTGATCGATGAAACGCGATATTTTGATAGAGGAATACATACCGATTGATTCTCATTGGTCACACGCTCGTATCCATTGCAAATATTTTAAATTCGTGTTGCATTGAGATTCCTATCACGTTCGTTCTTGCATTACTAACTGGATTCGTCGAAACTGCTGATGCATATTAAAAAAAAAAAAAAAAAAAAAAAATCATGCAACCTATATGTTGAATTTCTCTTTTGTATTTGTTAACGAACACACATTTTCACGAATGTCAATGAGAAACTTTTGATTTCGATGTGTCAATTTTTTTTCTTCCTTTTTTCAAGAAAAAAATGTATACGATTTTTTTTTTTAAAGGGGCAAATTAAAGAAACCTTGTGTATTCTTCAACGCGTGTGTGTGTGTGTGTGTGTATGTGTGTGTGTGTGGCTTTTACTTACGAAGTTGGATATACCGAAGGCAAAACCTAGTAGATACGGAATAGTTATTAGTGAGTGCATACGCCCTACCAACGCAATTTGCCAGCTACATCGATTTCACTTCTGCAAGAGGAAAAACAAGACGTGCGTGCGGTGTAAGGGGGGAAAGTCGATACGAGTAGTGCGTGCTCGTACTTGGGGGTCAAACGTTAGGAACGGAGGCGATCGTCGACGTTATCGACCTTTCGCAGCTACGAAGTCGTCGTCAAAGTCGTTGGCCATAAGGTTCCTCCTTTCGTGTTTAGAACCATTGTTGTTTCGTTAGAAACGACAATAATTCGCTTATATTTTCGCAATTAATGTAATCTCGTCGAAATTCTTTTATTTATGGTAGCTATTCTCAAAGTTCGATAATAATAATAATAAATTAATGAACGTAATGAATTCATAATGTAATTCGCTCTAATTAATTCTAATTTAAATTCATCGAATTAATTGTATACATAGTATAGTATTATTGTAAAAGGATAAATTTCAAATGAATTAAAAATATATGAATTATAAGTTTTCATTAAATGTTATTAATTTTAGTACAATGCTTTTTTAAAATAGGAAACAAAAAATGGACGTACTTTCTATACAATTGGCAAGTCACTAGAGCATTATGAATGTATATTGTGAGCACGTACGAAGCGTAAGGTTTCGAGCTATCCCCTGAATGGGGTAAAAAGGGACGAGTTAAGGATGAAACTGAAACTGTAAAAGGGCAAGAGGAATACGTTTCTTCGGAGAGGTGTGAAAAGTAAAAACGATGTACAAGGACGCGAAAAGAAGTCATTTTACAAGCTTCCTCTTCTTCTCTTTCTTTCTTTCTTTCTTTCATTCATTCTTTCTTTCTTTCCTTCTTTCTTTCGTTCTTTCTTTCCTTCTTCCTTTCTACCTCTTTTCTCGAGTCGCGAGCGTGAGATAAGACATCTGTCGACTTTTATGCACTCGCTATGCCCGACGGGGCTCGTAAAATTATATTGCGAACACGTTCTCAAGAAGGAGAAAGAGAAAGAGAAAGAAGAAGTTTAAGTTCATATTTCGATAGAAGTTGTCGTCTGAAGGAGACCTATGCGCATGAATGAAAGTAGAAAAAAAAAAAAAAAAAAAAAGAAAAACAAAGAATAAAAGACGATTCTTCTCACACTTGTCCGAATACTTAACGAAGAAACTTGAAAAGAATTGAGAAAAACCTAAGATACTACAAACGTTTCTGTTACAGGATAATAAACTATCTTTTTAGATTTGTAAAAATGGTATATAGTAACAAGTGTCATATAAAAAAAAAGTTCCGATGAATTAATGGTATCACAAAATTTCACAACGAACGGAAATTTATTCAACTTTATCAATGTATCGGAAAAAAAAAAATAGATGAAAATACATGACTATTTGTGTGTATACGGACGATGTAATAAATTCGCTTTATGCGCTTCTTCGATAGGTAGAAAAAGGTCACGAGCTTAAGTTACAACCACTCAACTTCGCATAGACATGAACGAGTAATGCACTACGAATACCTAGCTCACAAAATTTCTCAACGACTAGCATTTCTAAAATCCTACAATACTCGTTTCGAGTAGTTCTCTTGGTTGCCATCAAATCTACCACAATACGACTTTTCATCGAATAGCGCGTGTTTAAGATTTTCTCGGTGAAAATATCAAAAGGATTAGAGTGCAAATTTTCGAAATGCTTTTCTTCTTTTCTTTTCTTTTTTTTTTCTTTTTCAATGAGAATCTTTGAACATGAAATAAAATAAACGAAATAAAAAGTACGAATAAACGAAAGAAAAAGTATGTAATGGTATAGCTGTCAAGGGGATTTCTAGAAGGAGTAAAAAGAAAATTATAAAAAAAAAAAAGAAAAAAAAAAAAGAAAAAAGGGAAAAAGAAAAACTGACGGTACAAGCAAGTAGGTTCGATCGCCATTATCCCGTCACGCGAAGAAACTGCTTTCCCTCTTTCAATGCACACACGCACACACACACACATATAAGCAACATACGCAGAGACGCACGCACATTATTCTCCATATCTTCCTCGTAGCCGTAGAGAATGCCATGGTGGAAATCCGATAATTACGAAGGGTGGCAAAATGGGAGGGACGAAGGTGCGTGCGTGCGTGCGTACGTGCGTGCATGCGTGCATATATGTTTCCATGTCTATGTATTTACGTAGTGTTTACGCTCACGCATTTACTCGCGCACGATGAGAGACGTACGCTTGTGAGAAACGGTAACACGCAAGCCACCAGCATCGGACCGTCATCGTCATCTATATCTCCTTGCCTTGCTTCTACGTAAATCACCACACACGTATCTCAAACGTGGGGGAGAAAATATGAGATGAGAATCAAATAAGGCTTAGTTGAATGTAGAAAAAAAAAAAATTGGAAGGAAGTTGCAGTACGATATCGCAACAAATTGGAATGTATTAAAACGAAAAAAAAGAGAGATTTTTTATTTTTCTAAAACCTTTAAAATAATTGATTTTTTTTTAAATCAAAAAATTGAGTTTGAAAATGATTGTAAAAGAAAAAAGAAAATGATTATGAAATATATTCGAACGAATCAAAATTTGTATCTAAGTACGTAAAAAAACCGGATTTGCCAATTCTCGTTATAGGTGTTCGGATTAATCGCCTTGTTATCATTGTTAACGACGTAATTGGATTCAATCGCTTAACGATTTATCGTATAACAAGTTAGTCGATATTTCTACATAGATACAAGTATTATACATACGTATATAGAATTCCTTCAACGTTGAGCGTGAGTAGAGCTCGTTTTAAGATGCGACATAAGCGTGGGACGATTCTATCTGACAACAAAGATCAACATGACCGATCGTACCGCGTGTTTAACAACCATTTCGAAAGTATCGTACCATAAGAAAGATTATCTCTCGCGTTCGTCGAAAATTAGGTACAACCTACGAACGTGCTCGTCACGCATTAACGCACACATGGATATACGAATGTCAATTCAGAGCTAACAATTATTACAACTACTCATGCATTTTCATGACATTTCTCTCGCTAATTACATTTAACACGAAAATGTTTATTCTATAGGCAGAAATTTCCCCTAAACTATTGAAAATTATCTTAAGCTTTATTTTATAATAATAATAATAATAATAATAATAATAATAATAATAATAATAATAATAATAATTATTATTATTATTATTATTATTATTATTATCATCATTTTAATTCTTATCTGGTAATAATGTCTTAATGAATGCGCGTGCGCATGCCAAGTATTCTAAATTAATGCGAGGAAAAAGAGAAAGAAATAAGAGAAGACACGGAATAATTCGGGATCTCAGTAAAATAGCGCTCGTTAAAAAGTATCGCGCTCTGCAGTGAAACAGAAAGTAGAACAATTTCGAAATTCTTCTTTTTTAAAAACGTCATTCTAAAGCTCCTTGTTTCGGCTTTCAAAGGACGTTAACAAAGATACTGGGAGTTTGCCAAAATTTTCATTTTTTTCTTTCCCTTTTCTTTTTTCTTTTTTTTCTGTTTTTTTTTTTTTTTTTTTTTTTTTTTTCATTAATACAATGATATTATTTTCTTTCTCAGTTTCGTAGGACTCTTCAAACCGTACACTATTTATGAAAGCTTTTTATTTCGTCCCTTACAATTTTTTAAACCTTCCCAACTAAACTGAAAATTCCACTCTACTTTCAGAGTCGCTTACTTTACTTTTACCAAATGAATCTCTGCTCGCAAAAAAATATTCCTCACTTTATTCATATCGTACATTACCATGTAGTTTTATTTAAATGTAGATATTACGATTAAGAAGTTCCTCGTGGAAGTAATCATTTAAATAATACTCTGACCATTTTATTGTCCGTAAAAAAGCCAATGGACAATTTCAATCGTATAATAAATAAAATTACTTATTACTCTTTGGGAGCGTAATCATGAAAAATGGAAATAAAATAAAAAAACAGGAAAAAAAAATGATGTTAAAAGAAGTATATTGGTCTTGATCGTTCTGCCATTAGTCCGATAACTCACAATTTTCCGCGTTAAATGGTACACGTTTGAAGAAGACATGGAATGAGGTAAACTCTGGGTCCATCCATCCGGCAAACGTTTCCATCGAGTTCTCCCCTTCCACCTGCCTGCACGAGGAGGAGCCAACGAGCGTGTAAAACGCGTAGGACGATCTTTCCACTCGGCTTCACAGCGCAATATTTGTTATCGGAGTTCCGTCATGAAAGCTCTTCGTCTAGGAACGCGGCGTACGTGCAAATATCCCCGGCGGACCGGAAGCTCGATATCAAAAAGGAAAATAGCGAAAGAAAAAAGAAAGAAGAAAAAGTAACGAAGAGATCGACTAGAAAAAGGGAGAATAAAAAAATGGTAGAAAACTTGGAAAAGCGTCGTTTTCTACGCTTTGCCCTGACATTAACCAGAAACTGCATCGTGCAACTGCAACGACTGTGAGGCTGCAGTTACGGTGAATTTACGTCGCGAGAGATTCCGGGAAAAGCCATTTAATCTCGTCCTCGTCGATGGAGAGCTACGTAAAGAGCCGTACGGCGAGTGTCTGTTCGTGTATATGTGCGTGCGCTTGTACATATAAGCGGCTAATGAGAGCCCAGGTCGCTCTGTTTGACGCGACTATTTATTATTAAGGCGACTCGTGTTTAGGGTGGGGGGTTGAAAGGCGACCGACTCACGAGCCTTAATTACTTCTGTCGGTCTTTTGAAGCTCTCGCTAGAGACCCCTTCTTTCGTTGATGATCATGATGATTATTATTACTTTTATAATTATTACTATTACATTTTTTTTCTCGCTCTTCATTCTTTGTTTTTCAAAAGAAAGGAAAAGGATGGAAGACGTGCAATTTGGGATACGGACGATCAAAGGAGAAATGCTTGCTCGTGACTTAAGTTCGCCACCCACAAGAGAGAACAAAGAGAAAATAAATGAAAAAGATTGACAAAAGGAATAGAAAAGAAATGAAAGAGGAAGAATTTCCATTCCCCTTTCTTTTTTTTTCCTCTTTTAATTAGATCTTTTTAATTAAAATATTTCACGTGTTAGAAAATTCTCACTGAATCAACCACAGGCAAGAATAAAGACGTCATATATAGATGGATTTTGATTTACTTCACCTATTATTGTTTTCTCTTTATCAGAGAATAATATACAATGATTTTCTTTTAGCCAATAGGTATCTTTTAATGTTTACTTTCATCAGGAGACTGAAGATTTGTCTGTGAAACATTGGCATGCGAGCTCAAGGTCGGTAGACGATCAATAATCAGAAAGCAGTGAATAATCATGAATCCAATCGTCCGTTCGGATCGCCCTTGGAAAGATGGAAAACATAGAGAGAGAGAGAGAGAGAGAGAGAGAGAGAGAGAGAAAGAGAGAGAGAGAGAGCAAGAGACAGAGACAGAGAGAGAGAGACAGATAGAGAGAGGTAGAGAGATAGAGATAAAGCCCTTGGCACATTAGCGCCAACGCAATTGGTTCATCAATATTAATAAGAGATTCTAACTGGACAGAGGACGGGCATTGATTGGCCAGCCAATTTGCCTTGCGGCTAAACTTTTACGGATCTTCGCAAACCTGTATGTCTTTTCTTCTTTTCGTATTTTGAGACATGAAAGAAAGAGAAGGAGAAAGAGAAAGATAAATGTATTAGAGACGAAGATGAGAGAGAAAGAGAGAGAGAGAGAGAGAGAGAGGGAGAACGATCGTTGCTTATTAATAATGGATGCGTAACGCGTGAAATGGTGCCTAAGGGGAGTTACCAATGAGTTGAAGTCTTAAAGTGTCCTAATGGTAAGAGTAATTCTATCTTCGTAAACATTCTACGTTCTACGTGAATGATTAAAAACTTGATTAGTAAATACCTCGTGCTAAACCTGGAATCAGAATATACTATTTACCGAAGGGGTTGGAATTATAGCCCTCGGAGAAGAAATTTATATCGATACAGGTCTGGTGGTATGGTAAATAAAAGAAACGATTGAATCTAGTTGAATTTTCAATGTTTCTGGAAATGGAAAATATCTGATAAAGATTGGATAGTTTCAATGTTTGCATACGATTTAATTGAAAAATTTTTTATAACCTTGTTAGAGAAAAATTCGAATATTCGTGATAAAAGGTTGAGTTGACGATTACCAATGACGAATATTCTTTCGATAGCAGCTGCAACGATTCCAACGAAATGCTGTATTTTCCAATGGAATTGATTAGACGTGAGAAAATTCAGGAAAACTTAAAATAAGATAAGCTTCAGGAAAATCGATTTAGATGGATGAGAGGTTAACGTTCCAACGAACGTAATGGCTCGTTCTCTCGATCGGGGACTCAGTCCGAAAGCTTGTTCTAAAGCTTCGAGATAGCTTTGGCTAACCGTTGAACGGATTCGACGATCTCTAAGGTACGTCTGGGTTCAGGCTACCGACAAAGTGGCAGCTTCCAACGGTACGAAATTAGCTTACGGTTTCGCGATAAGCCGTTTACATTAATCCCTCCACTCGGTCTTCGATTCCTTCATCGGCCAGTAAGCTACAGAACGAAGCTGATGCTTTGAGATTGCACCATGCGAATTGCGTCTGCTTTTCAAAGAGGCTACTCTACTTTCTCGAGAGCATATAATCAGACGTTCTAATGAGTGCTCTCTATCAAGTTACCAGTTACCAATCGACGAAGATGTTACTCTCTAAAGTGCTTTATTGATATCTTTAGCTATTTCAAGCGTATGACGAAATGTGCAGTCTCTTGGAACTGTTTTATGCTTGACAAATTCGTCATTTGCTTCAAATAGATACATTCGTGTGTTATATGTTCTTAGATATATTATCTTGAATCGTTTATAAATTACTGATAAAGAAAATTTTTATATATCGTGATAATGGTGTAACTTACCTCTTGTCCTTTGATGTCCCTATAACGAACCCATTTGCCCAATCGTGGTCGCCAATACTCCAAAAGATAAGCCTCTGAGTACTCGACACCTTGTCCATTCCCAAAACGACCTTGAGTAGCGGTGGCAGTAATAAGATGGACAGTATGAAGATCAATTTCCAACCACTCTTTCGCCTCCTTTGTGATCTGATTCTTTGGACACCAAGCACCACCGAGGCTCTCCGTTTTCAACCTAAAATCAATAGATCTAGTCAGTAGTGATTGCAGGTTAACTATCAATGAAACTGTTTTTTTTTAGAAAGCTAAAGTAAATCCTTTGATTTCTGTCTATTTTATTGGACATATACTGAAGGGATAGAGGTGAAGTAAGAAACGATATAATTTAAGTGCTTGTTAGCGATCGACGTTTCGAACGGAAACAACGATAATTAGGCTTTACGGATTCTCTCCAAGGATTTTCGGATAGTAGACCCTAGTTATCGAGATTTCTAAGTGGAAGATAATAAAGCTCAACTTTTTCGAGTCTCTTTTCATGTCCATCGAAATACTCGAGATCACTTATCCCTTTCACTATTGAGAAAACTCTTATTAAACCTATATCGAATAAGAATTCATAGGAGAGAAAATGAGAGGAAAAGGAAAAGGGAAATAAATAGATACAGAGACAGTGAGTAAGAGAGAGAGAGAGAGGGAGAGAGAGAGAGAGAGAGGTAAAGGAACCGGAGTGTGTCGTTGCCAGCACGGTTATAATCTTTTGGAATGGGAAGGATAGGAGAAAGCAAAGCTAAGGAGAGAAGGTTGGCAGGGCTGAGGCATGAATAAAAGATGAAGCGTGAAGCGCCTTCCCTAATTGCGTGGACCGTTTAAACGCTCGACTAAGAACGAGGGATTCCCCATTCGATGCAACACGTACACGAAAATCGTGCGAATTTGCCTGTATATCCGAAAGTATATATCTATAGGGGAAGCGGGCCGCATTAATGAGCATCATTGGTGCTGGAAGGATCATGGACAAGGAAAGAAGCAAAGGATCAAAACACGTCCGTGATCAGGGAATCAGAAACCGAAACGAGAATCTTTCTGTTTTCAAATTTTATTACCAACGTTGGATTTAAATTCTCTTTCATAATTTGATTAAACGATTTTGAAAGGTACAAAATATCTTTTATATGTTCATCATTTCTCATACATCATTTCAAATTTTAAATAAATTCAAATAAATATATTTATTTCTTAAAGGAAATTATTTTTCCTTTGATTATGTCTTATTAATTTGAATTATCTATACCTCAAATGTAGAATGCCAATAATCATATTACAAACGATGACAGTATTGTTCAATGTTCATTAAAATGATCCTTACAAAATATACGATATTATTAGGTTAAATTCCGATTTTCTTCTAATGATCCATTTAATCAATAAAGCATGCAGCCATTTTACGAATACAAAAGAATCGATTCGTCTTTTATATTAAACAGCAATAATTAATATTTCTACTTATATCTTGCGAATGTCATACTGTCGACTCAATCGCAATTATTTATTTCTGTCCACGTTGCAATTCGGTTAATTCCAAAGAGATTGGTAAAATCGTTGGTTTGTGGAGAACTTGGATGAGAAGTTCTAGCGGTGAAGTAAGTTTGATAATGGATGATCCAGCCAAACGAGAGTTGATCGTTTAAAACGTCGTGTTCCGATAATTCGAATTTTTTATTGACTTCGTGGATTTATTGTCGGTATCGAAGAGAAGTCTTTCTACCTGTCAATTTCTATACGATTCGTTGGCCTGCATAATGCAAGGTACGCGTTAGAGAGATAACCGAGAAACGTCAGATGTGTTGCCATTTTCCCCTTTCCGAATCCAGAATTATCTGAGGATAGAAAATTAGCTCGAGAGAATATTTCTCTCTCTCTTTCTCTCTCTCTCTCTCTCTCTATCTCTCTTTCTCTGTCTGTGTTTCGCTCAATTTAATGCCATTCGTCCGTCTGTCCGTCCTTTCGTTCGTTCGTTCGTTCGTTCGTTCGTTCGTTCGTTCGTTCGTTCGTTCGTTCGTTCGACCTACACGTCGGTTTGTTCATCCGACACGGGGGAATGAATTTTCGAATGGCACGGAGAAGACTGTCCCGCGTAAAAAGCGATACCTCTGATCGTCCTTTTGGGCTCTAAAGGGACCACACACCTCGATATCTTCCCTTCTTCTTATTGTTCTTCTTCTTCCTTTTCGTTTGCGTCTTCTTCTCACGGATCTGAGAAAACTCGTTATAAATAGAAACGCACTTGTCTCAGTTAGCTAGCAGCCTGTCTGTTATTCAGCGCTTCAGTTTTGATAATCCTAAGTCATGTTCATCAATAAATAAATTGTATGTTATATGGATAGTACTTATAGAAGAAATACTAATACCAACTTATGACAATTTTGATTTTTTAATTTTACCACTATTATGATAATTTCGATGATAACAGGAAATACAGATCGTGCTTTTTTTATTAAAAAAAAAAAAAAAAAAAAAAAAAAAGAGAGAAAAAAAAGGAAAAAAAAAGCAGAGAAAAAAGAGATTTTTTTTTCTCGTTGGTTGTCTGGGGAACGCAAAACCAGTCTGTCGAAGCTACTTGTTATCGATAAAGAGATGCTTCCAGGTCGCGCAGGTTGTAAATCTCGTGAAAGGAGATCCCGCCAGTTATAACGACGACCGGTCCAGAGGATAACAGAAAGAAAGAGAGAAAGAAAGAAAAGGATACGAAGAAGAAGTCGTTATCGTTCTCGCCTCAGTTGAATGTATAGCTCGATTATTAATTCCTGGTGAACTTGATTATCTGTAGGAGAAGATGTATACGACTAGTCATAGGCGTCATTTAATACTCTGAAACGTTTAAACAATTTTCTCATTTTTCTTCGATTTATCGCAATCAATCACATTTTTTCCATCCGATAAAGATAATCCACAGGGAGCAAAAGTATTTAAATGACTGTTAAATGATCCATTAAATGTTCTAACATATCTAAAGTTATTTTACGTTTAACAGTTAATAAAAAATGTGCATAGAAAATTTATCATATTTTTTGTAATTATTAAGATGTAAACAAAGCTATCGATGTGCTATTCACGAATCTTGCTTAGTCATCTTCTAAAAAAAAAAAAAAAAAATTTAAACGAACGAGCCTTCAATCTTTTTTCTTTAGCAATAAACGTTATCGCGTTATGTTGCTGAAAGTGAGACTATACAACCTTTTTTAAAGAACCTTTCGCTCTCATCGTTTTTATTTTTTGTCTCTTCTTAAAAAGCTGAGAAGAGACTCCTGATTGCACGTTACGATTGAACTTTTACTGAAACGACAGTCGCCACTCCTACTTCCCTCTTCAAAAATGCAAAATCGAAAATGAGAATCACATTGGTATCATTTGAAACGATTGCTAAGTGCATAATTGCTCTCAATTCCACCGGACTCATACAAGTTCTTTACGGAATTGCTTGCTAAATCGAGTTGGAACTGGTATCCGCAAGTATTCATGGGTTTCTACTGAAATAAAGTCGTTATCCATAAATTGCTATCGTTTAACGTTATGTATATTTGTAGAAAACGATAAACGATATCTGGTCAGGTGTTGAAATAAGAAGCGAGTAAGAAATTTGCGCTCGTTTATGCGAACGACGTTGATAGTTCATTATCAATGAGAGAAAGAGAGAAATAAAAAGAGGAAATGATAACGTTAGGATTATTATGCCAGATCAAGTTAACAATTTGTTATCTATACGAAATAATTACCTCGTAATAGTGCAATAAAATTTATTGGTTCAATGACAATTACGCACTTTACCATATCCTCTCATATATTCAAGACTTTCCAAAAGTTTTCGTTCTGGAAGAAAGGAGTTCTCCTTACTCTTTCTATTCCCTTACGTTGATTTTTCGCAAGGTCTACTATTTCTTTCGGTATCTTAGCGCGACACTCTTACCGGCATCTTAATTGCAGCCATTCTAGAAATACTGTTGAGTAAGAAAAGCTTGGAGAAAGAGAAGGGTGAGAGTAAAAGAAAGAAATAGAGAGAGAAAGAGAGAAAGAGAGAGAAAAAGAGAGAGAGAGAGAAAGTGAAAGAGAGAGAGAGAGAGAGAGAGAGAGAAGGGTGAGCAAAGAGACGCGAGAAAGCGCAGCTGGGGGACAACTTCTTGGTGGAGTAAAATGGTGAAATCAAAAACGCGTGACGAAAGTTATGACGATCCGGCGAAAACTTGCCTTGGAGATTCCGAGAGAGTAAGAAAGAGAATACTTCGTTCGTCGTGAAATTACGTGTAACGGTATGATTATACTTCCCTGTCTTCTTCTTCTTCTTCTTCTTCTTCTTCTTAGCCAACTTCGACTGTTATGGAAAAGAAGATCGAGAGTTTTGGTATAATTAAATCCGTGCAGAAAAATAAAACGGACTGGCTCCTCTGATATATCTAATAATAACCCGAGTTCAATTGAGTCTCGTTGTTTTCCTTAACGTTTCGTTGATAGTTCTATTAACTCTTTTTCCTTGGAAATTCTATTCATATAAAAGTTATCTCATTTTATAAAAACTACACGAAACTGTTTATATTTCAACTAGTTAAGTCTATATTGAGTTCATTTGTCTCTTTAGATTATCAACGGTTTAATTATCGTTGCTACGTTATTAAATGAAATTTGTCAAATGTCACGTCTATTACTTATCCTTCATTAGAAAATATTTTCATATTTTTCATCGTTAAAATATTAACATAATAATGAGACTTTTTATATTCATTGAAGATTTTAAGATATAATCATGTTTTATGAGGTGAAGTAATAAACAAGCTATAATTATTACTCTCTAGTAGACAATTTTAATCATTTATTCGATAACTATAAACCATCACTGAGAAGATATTGGTCAAGACGAGAAAACAACCACAAACGATCAAAGTGAGACACGTTTTATCCTTTAAGAAGTACAGGTGTGTGATCTTTTTTGGTCTGAGGTCATTGAGTATTAAATTAAATGGTGACGTGTGAGGAGAAATTCGTCGAGAATAGATAGAGTATATACGTTCATGGAGGATGTCCATCGAAGTGGGGAGGACTCAAAGCTCATCAGGAGTTGGAGGTCCATTCAGCCGGTCATTGTCTACTGTAATGGAATGTATTAATATCGGAGAGCCCGCGGGGGCCAACAGACCAACGCAATGCTCGCTTCGACTGCTCGTTGTTGCCCGTTCGTTTGTTCCTTCGCACAGCGTGCGTGCTGCAGTAGACCGGATGCTTCCCACGGGGCACAGTATATTCGTATAAACCGGCACTGCGGTACCACTGTCGACGAACAGCGGACACAGCGCGTTAATATCTAAACAGGCTTGTATGTATGTGTATGTGTGTGTATGTGTGTGTGTGTGTGCGAAAAAGAGAAAGAGAAAGGGGGAGATAGAGAGAGAGAGAGAGAGAGAGAGAAAAAAAGAGAGAAAAAAAGAGGGGGATGATACAGGGTGGTTGGAATGAGAATACTGTGTACGGTCGAATCTCTTATTCGTGACAATATTGCACACAACTGAAGCCTTCATTTTTTTTCATTCCCAAAAATGGTTTCATCCGTTAGTTTTTGGAGATTTTTTTTCTTCCATCAGAATGATTACAACGAAATTTTAGAAGTAACGAATGGCAAATATGGTATCCCTGGTTATTTCATTGACTCCTGTACGATAGTGAAAGGACTTTTTACAACTTCCTTGCACTCGCATGGATAACGATCAATGATCGATTATTTGCGTTGACTGCGTAACCGCCTCTTGAAAGTATCAGATAATTTGCGGCTCGAATAGGCGTGAACTTTCTCGCTTGTAATTTAAGCGGACCGCCATTTTTGCGGCTAGCCACCAAGCGAAATATCGCGACTGAAAAGCGACGAACTACCGTCGCTGAAGGCTCAAACCAAGGAGAAAGAAAAACGGGTCTCGGCCTTTTATAGGAAATAATTATACGTCAATCGCCACCATACTTTTTTGTTCGTCACGTAACGCCGTCGGTCTACCGGGTGTTTCGATAATACACATCTTTTCTATCGTATTGTATTCATTTAATTAATTAAATTATACGAATTATGTTCTTTCAATTATGCCTATTATTTTCTTCTACTAATATTATGTTCTCGTTTATGGGTGAAATTTAAACATTGAAAGTTAACATTTTGGTCAGATAAATGAACGATATTTTTTCGTAACATTCTTATGTGAGATTCACACGGAATTTTTTTCGCATATCGCAGTCCGAAAAATCAGCAATATAACGAAACACGTTGTATAGAACCTGCCACACCGGATTTTACGTATTAAAGACACAACCGTACGCAAAATCGTTCTGCATGCTTTTTAGTATTCATGCGAGCATGGAAGCGTTGCAATTAACCCTGCGCAATTCCCCCATTCCGGAAGTCAGAAGCATTTCGAATAAATGTTAAGTTGATAAGTCACTTTTCACGTATTATTTTAAAAACTAGAAATTGAGTTTCGCAGAAGAAACGTAATCGTAATTGTTGTTGTATTTAAAAAGTATATATTGATAGTAAATAAAATAATATGAGAAATTATTTTCATCGTGAATATTCGATTTCTACGTATTTGAAATATACGACCTATGTATATGAATAATAAAAACTTCGAGGTAAGCGTCAAATTCTTAACGTTTACCTAGTTCTACACAAAGCTTTCTTCTTCGAAAAGCATTAACGCGAGGAAGACATATAATCACGATGAACCTTTTGCTCGGCATGCTTCGATTAAGGAGAATAGTGGATGCCCTGTGCTAACGATTTCTGGTCCATGCAGCATCCGTAACGGGATGGCGAGCGACGTGTGCATTGGCGCAGACGCATTAACGATTCTTTGTAATTCCGATTCTTTCAACATCCTCTCGTCTGCCAACTAAATCCATTAGCTCTGTTGGATTATGTATCGAAAGAGTGAGAGCCGATAAGTGCGACAAAAATTCGGTTTGACGCATAAGCCGTCTGTAGTCACGATCGAATCGAGTTGTCAGCTGAAAAAGAAATGAACGCACGAAATTTTCTTTTCCTCTTTTCTCGTTGATTCGTTTCGTTAATCCTTCGAGCGGGTGACATTTTAAGGAAAAAAAAAAGAAGAAAAAAAAAGAAAGAAGAAAAAGAATATATATACATATATATATATATATATGTATATATATATATATATATATATATATATATATATATATATATATATATTTCGATAAAATAATAGTTTTAAACGTACACAAATAACAATAACGTTCAATCATTTACTTCAAATCTATTTGAATAAAAGAAAGAAAAATAACGTCATGTAAACGTTCAGTTTAAAAATCACTACGTACATAGTACGAAACATCCATCTTGATCAAATTGATTCGACACGTGTCTGGGTTATATCTGTTTGAAAAATTTTTCAACTCTGCAAAAAAAGATATGAAAGCTCACCGTGCCAGATGCGGGCCAACATTTCCGGCATCGTAGGTGGAACTGACTGTGATGTCCTTATCCGGTATTGCTCCGGATTCCATGCCCAGTGGTGCGATGCATTGTGCTAAAACATAAAAAGATCAAAAAGAATTATCATCTCGAACATTTTACAAATAAATACATTTTGTATATTTTTACATATACATATATAATAATGCACGTTAAATGCATAACAACGAATTTCGATGACAATAAAATTCAAATACGATGCGAGTTATTCGTATTAACGGATCTATTGTTTTTAAATAAAATTATTTCAATAATTTGTAAATAAAAATGTTACGATGTACGATAAAATAATTAATAATATCTTATCTCAGATATAATATTATCTGCAAGAGATATAGATTCTAACGTACACAATAATACATTTATATCGTATATGTATACTTATCACAATTTATTTAACCGAAGGATCGCACTGATCGAGATCGGGTTGTAGTTAAATTTATACCAGTATGAACGATTCGAAGATCGTCGAGATACTGGTTTGAAAAGGAGCAGCGAGAGGAATATATCCCTGAACTCAATCTAAAGTATGCGTATTTATATTTACCGTACAACGTCGCAGGCGAATTAAAAAGGGCTAAATAAGCCGGCTAACTGAGATGAATCCGTGTGATAGTTGAAACCAGCTTTTCATGTAGGACTGTCCGAAACGAGTAGGTCGTTGGGTATTTAGTAGAATGGAAGGAGGACTAAATGTTGGGAATAAAGGGTTACCTTAGCGTGTCTAACTTATCTGTGCATTTTGATCTAATTGTTGAACTGGTTGAAATAAAGTAACTCGTAATAAAATCTTTTCTTTCTGATATCTTCCTTTTTTCTACTATAATATTTTTCTAAAATGCAATAAAAATATTTTCATAGATCATTCACGATACAGGCAATGACAAAATTTAAAAATTCTACTTGATCTCATCATATGATGGATATAAGTGTTCGATGAAAAGTATTAATAATATTACAATTGTCATTCAATGTATCATCATATTTTTTTTATATTCTTTTTAATAACTTTATATAATAATTGCTATAACCAGAATTATTTATCGATACGAATGGTTTTAATGATGAAATGTCTTAATCTGCCAACTTTCAACAAAGTTGTTGAATCGAGAGGGTGAAGAAAAAGAAGAAGATGCTCGAAAACTTAGCGAAACGAAGAAGAGAAAATGGAAGATATCTTTCTCTCTCTTTTTCTCTCTCTCTCTCTCTTTCTCTTTTCTTTTTTTTCTCTTTCTACCATTGGTTTAATCTTTCGATAGTACACAAGTTCTTTTGACTCCATCTTGATCGCTCTCCTTTTCTTTCTTTTTCATGTCACCGACTGACTTCGTCGTCCATTCACTTTTTTCCTTTCTTTTTCTTCTACTTTCCTTTTTCTTATTTGTCCTCTATAATTCTTCGTCCGATACTTTACGCTCGTTTTATTCTCTACCACCCTCTTTCCCATCGTCAAGCTGGCCTTAATATGGCTTCGACGATTTGCATGCGTCAGTTAATAGATTCTCTTTTCCGTTCTCAACGAGAAGAGAGGTGAACGATAGACAGAGAAAAAGAGCGATAGAGATAGAGAGACAATGTGTGTGAGAGAGAGGAAAGAGAGAGAGAGAAAGAGAGATAGAGATGGAGATATTAACGCTTTGCGTCACTTATCGGAGCGAATATTATTTAATAAACGAGGATCTTCGTTGAGGCGAATTATTTTATAACGACCGGCGTAAATATTTGCGAGAATTCGCGTCACAGGTGAAGGGTAAAATCAATATTTAATCAACGTTCGAACGAATAATGGCTAGCTTTTTTCTCTCAGACCATGGAACATGATTTCTGTGAAACGATTGGACCATGTGACGACAAACATTGTGAGAGCGATTAAGTAAACCGACATTAACATTTTATCGTAAAAAATATTACGGAGAATAGTACGTAGATAAATCTACGCGAGTATTGAATATGTAAAAAAAAAAAAAAAAGAAAAAAGGAAAAAAAAATACGAGATCATTTTAACGTTAACTTCTTTTTTTAAAGTAAATATAATACTTACAAAGATCCACGGCAAGAGTTGCTGGAACGAACGAGATGAAGCCGACTAGGAGGAGACGAATAAGGAGAGGAGTAGTCGATGGGCTTGCACCAACGACGAAACTAAAGTTCTTCGCCATGGCACCCCCTTTTCGTGCGAGGGTGAAACCCTCGCCCTTTTCTCACCGTGACTCCTGCGTCATTTCAGTCCTCGTCAAGCTGAAACAAAAGGGCCGTGACATCGTTAGTATCGTCGTAAATCTGACGATGTACATGCATTTGAGAGTTTCCCCGAGAAATTTTAAAGGATATCAACGAAGCATCATGTTTTGTTTAAATACTACTGGCTCGTAAATATTATTTCAACGTTATCGTATTGGAAAATATATTTTCCAAGATTTATCTTGGTTTTATAGGATAAATAAAATTTTCTTCTTTATATATGTATATATATAGACAATTTTTTTTGTTTTTTTTTTTATATAAAATGAATCTTTCATTCTTAAGCAATTGAATTCATTTCATTGATATTTTCAACAACAAAATGCTTTTATCGAAATATTTTAAGCTGTCAGACATCGTTCTAATATCGTTTCTTAGAGAAATTTATTTTACGAGAACGCCAAACGTATAACAAAGCGTGAAATACTTCAACGACGATGTTCAACGTTTGATCTCGAGTTTAATTTCATGAGAGCCGGTATAGCTTATTCGGTTCATTAATACGTTATCTGTTGTTCTATAGTCTTTACGAAGCAACTATTAATTATTTATCCGGAAACACGAGGGCAGAGTGAAGAGTACATTAAAATTCGTGAACGCTTTCAATAGAGAAGTTTACTCGAATTCACTCAGGTAAGCAACTAGGAGGAAAGTCAATGACAGAAGGCTAAGTTGGGTAAACAAAAACCAATTTACGTGCATAAATGAAAGAGTAGTAGTAACTGTAAATGCAGTAATGTATTTAGCATCTTAGAAGTCACGTACTTTGAAACAAATTATTAAATTAGACTATTTAATCGTAGAAGTATTCTTATTTTTACTATATTTTATTACTGAAAATTATAGGCTGATACAAAAATTTGTAAATATCTTAACGATCAATTTTATCGATTCATATATATATCAAAATAAAGTTTACCAAGAATGAAATTGATAATTTGTTAAATACTACGTTTCACGAAACTCATAAACGACAAAGTACAAGAACAATGCGGAAGAAAAGAATAAAATGTTTCTTTTCATCGATCGAAAAAAATGATCATAGTGAAAGCTATAATTTTGAAGCGTTGCATGGGATCAGCCTCGCTAGCAGGTACATTTTTAAAGCGCGAAAACTTTCAACTTCCTGGACTATAAGAAAGAATAATGGCCACGTGGTTACATATATTAGATGTTATCTCCTACATGATATTTTTATTATTTTTTTCGGCTTTTATAATACCAAATACAGGAAAGTCATCCCGTAGTACACATTAGACGTAGTATGGAGAAAAGCAGGTATATGTATTGAATGAAATACGAGAAGAAGAAGAGAGGAGATATTTGATACAGGCGTTGGCAAGTAAGTAAGGTGCGATTTTCATATCCTATACGTCGATGAACTATGCGCTAGTAATTGCACTAGCCATGAATAAGTTATAACAAATGGTAAGTAAGAAGTTGCTCGGTCGTAGGCCTTGCTTATTCGCATTAAACATACATAAGTGCGAGTAGGTGAACTTATAGTCTTCGAGGTAGTGTAAAATCTAAACCAGAGAGTGTCTATAAACCTTCTTTTAGTTTTGATGATGAGAAATATCGAAAATTTGAACGTCTTTGTTGTTTCTCATATCGTCTGTTTCCTTCCTCCTTTATCTTTTATCCTTCATTTTACTTCGGTCCGTCGACTTTTCGTTGCTCGATATCGGAAATACGAGGACGGGCTTCGTAAGATTGAAGAACGTTAGAGTGGTTCCTATCTTTGTGTGTTTGAAACAGCGTCCAGACAAGGGGGTGATTGATCGTACGAATCGGTCATACGAAAAATGAAAAAAAAAAAAAAAAAAAAAAAAAAGAAAAAGAAGAAAAAATTAGAAATGATCTAATGTTTAAAATAAGATTCTCGGGAGGATTCATAAAGGTAATAGGAGTTATTAAAAATTCCCATTATCGTTTTAAATTTACGATAAGTGTGATCTTATCTCTGAGGCAGATGTCTTTTTCATTTTTTTTTCTCTTTTCTATCGTTCTTCGTCAAAAGATCATCGTCACTTCAAATATACCGTAGGACAAGGGCTTGGCAATTATTATTCCGTCTATGGCAACACGAAGACGAAGAAGATAAAGAAGGAAAGAACCTAAGAGAGAGAGAAGAGACAGCAGAAATGTGTTGGGGGTTGGTGTCGGTGTGGTTTCATTTACGATCGGTATCTCATGGTATACAAGCCATATCTATATGTATATAAGCCTCAGCATGCTTCTAAGCCACGATGTAAGCCCCGCGAGTTTCTACCCGTTCGGTATCCTAGTTCGACGTCGTCGAATCCTCCTCGTTTGCATAGGAATGAGTTTATGCAGATTAATACACGCGCGAGCGTCTACGTGTACCTTGCGACGGACTAGCTAGGCTAGCTAGCTAGCTAGATAGCTAGCTAGCTATATAGCATGCTATAGCGAGTGATGACTCGCTATAGCTCGCTCGTTCGGGGATGTTAAGCACGGTGTCCCTTACACGGATTTAAACGAACACGCATATTTTATTAGAGATTCGCAAGAGTCTTCTTAAGGATTTTCGATCGCATAAACGATGCCACACACGCATCGTTAGTATCATCGTTTTGTTTTTAATGTGTTACACCATTTATTCTTCCTTTTATTCAAATTCGTTTTATCATTATGAATTTTGAGAGAATTCTCGATTGGCCGATCGAGATTTATAAATGTTTCAAATAAGTTTTCAATGAGTGAGATCAGATTTCGATTTTTTTTCTTTTTTTTTTTTTTTTTTTTTGATAATTCATTATGAGCAACTGATTTCACAAGATGAGTAATATTTTATGAACTTCTTTATACCATATATGATGGATTAATCTTAGAAATGATTCACAGAACAGAGAAGAAGAAATCACATTGAACTAACGTGAAATCTCTCGTCCGTAGTAAAATCCAACTGACACGGGTGTCGTGTCGACCGTCGTTAAAGCGTTAATAAAACTGCGAAGGGGTTAAAGTCTAAACTTTGAATCTTAAACAACGTGGCGGGAGGAGGCAAGACGACGAGACGAGCGATGTTGGACGAGAGGAGAAGAAAAAAAAAAATAAAGAAAAGAGAAGAAAAAGAAGAAGAAAAAGGGAGAGAAAAAAAAAAGGAGAATCGATCGTCTTCCTCGTCCTCGTCTTAGTCTTCCCTTGTCGTTGCCATTGTCTTCGTCGTCTGAAAAAGAACGATGGACGGCATCGTTGTTAAGCGAGATAAGATTTTCTCTCGGAAAAGCCGTGTACAAATAGACGTCGTTGAAAAACGATCCAATGGCGACCCAAATAACGTAACCACCGTCGACGAGTCGACACTCTCTGACCTTAATTGTTCGTTGAAATCAGAAGAGAATGAGAGTGGATGGGAATAGAGCGAATGATGACGGTACAAACAAAATGAAAAGATAGGATGAGAATGTATATAGTACACAAGTCAAGGAACTTCATAATCTACTTTATCGTATCGTTTGCGGTATATCTCGTTCCGAACGAGAAATTGAAAAAGAATTGATAGAGAATGATGGTTTGTTGACGAATCAATTGATGAAAATTGATTGCTCGATAAATTCTAAATGAAATCATTCGAATTCCGTTATTTCTTTTTGACTATTTATGATTCTTCATTTTTCTTTTTTCCTTCTTCTTTCTTTTTTCCTTTTCTTTTTCTTCCTTTTCTTCATTTTATTTCCTATAAGAATTTAATTATGTTTGAACTTTTTTAATGACATTTTTTAACACCTAAAAAGAATAAAAATAAATCAACGTTAAATTCAAGAATTGAGATGTATAACTCGCAACGAGATATGTTCACATGATATAAAAGCACATTAGAGGATACTTCTTTTAAAGTGTTTCCGAGCGCCATTTCATTTTGAAGACCCTGAAGTAATTCTTGGAATAAAAACGTTTAGGTAATACTCGAGGTAGAACCTCCGGCATCCTCTTCGTTCCCTCGTCAAAGTACTCGACTTAAGTGCTGATTATGATCCGTCCGAGGTATAAAGCTGCCGGATCATTCGTCGGCATTGTTCTGTCTGGCACGATTTGACGCGATTCTGAATGCCCTCTGACGTCTCGACTGATCCGAGTATCACACAGGACGAGGGAATATTAGACGAACATAACTCAGACACACACGGATACATAAATACATACACATTGATATATCTACGTATATTTGAAAACTACGATGTTATAACGACGTCTCACTGGGATCTATTAGTCCTGTATGATGCTTTTGATCGTTTCTATTCTGACTTTTCGTTAGTTTCGAAATACGATTTATCTTCTGGAATCGCGTAAGATGAATAATAGCTTAGATAAATCTTTTGTTAGAATAATATCTTTCATAATAATTATATAATTATTATAATAAAGAATTCTTTTATTTTCTTTTATTTCATAAACAATCAACGAGTTCATCGTTTTTTCTCGGGCATTATATAGCGAAGTTATTCTTCGTGAACGTCGTTCAACCTAATTCTTTTTCAATTTTCCGCCTTTCGGAGTAATCCACGTGACGTTGTAAGAGCGAACGTTGCCTCCGTTAATTTTTATCAGGCTCAAAATTAAATGGAACACCGGATAATTATTTCTTGTCCTTGTTCGACGATAAATAAATGAAAGTTTTCTGAATCATTCGAGATATTTACAAATCATGAATAGATTCGCTTCTTCTGACTGCTAACATAACAAACATTTTCTAAATTCGTTCATTAGATCCATTATATCGTATATTATTTTCTATAATTTCAACAAGACTAATTTTATTTTTCTTGAATGATTAAAATTTAATTTCTCTTAATTATGTTAATCCATGAATTTTATATTATTGAAGAAAATGGTAATGATTATTATAATATTGATGGATTCTGACTAGTTTTATTCATTCGTAAAAATTCTCCGGATTTTATTGACGATCAGTGAAAATTCTTCCTTTCATCAGCATTGTTACGGAAAATCAGTGTGCATTTTTCACTAGT